TCAAGTAAGCTGACCTTAAGCTACACTCTATGATTATAATTGACTTATGATCTCATCTCCCTCTTATATCATAAACTCTTCAAGTATATGTATTTATATTAGAAGTTGTATTTTTAGTAGCCTTCACCAAGACATGAATGTATCACAAGTCCCACTTTATGTTCAATATGACACAAGTACTAAGGACTTGAGCTCACCATATGAGTTAGACTGTCCAACCAAGTACACCACAAGTGATCATTAACTAATCACACTCACTAAAAGTACTCATTATGTCACCATATACACCACATGTGTAGGTCTTGTACACCATAGGTCTAAGATGGACATCATAGCACACCACATGTTAAACATAAGTAATAAATAATATGTAATAAATATACCACAATCATTAAATGTCATTTTGGTTCATAAAGAGTTGATGAAGGAGTTGAGGTGTGTTGGGTTGAGACAAAAAGAGATTAAGACTTTGAATCTTAGAAACTTGAGAAGCATTGATAGAGAGGAAGAATGTTTCTTTAAGCAACAACTGTCATATGAAAATCGTGTATTTTCTCTTTAACCTAATTTTGATGAAATTCCTCCTTTATAGGCAGGTTAGATTACCCCTTTTGTCCCTTATGAGTTAAATGCCAAGTTAAAGTGGTCCTTAACTGGCCACACATATGGGTTCCGAACAATACAAAAAAAGATAACGTAAAGATTGAAAAACTTATAACTCTCTTAATACTTTGAATTTTATGAATTGTTTTCAATTCTTGATTCCATTTTAGATTATCTTTCTATTGACTATTGCACACCTATATTTGTGACACATTTTATGAGATAAAACTTATATTAGCAAGAAAGGTCAAATTTTTATATTTTTTTTGTCTTTATGTGAACATATTAAATTAGTAATATCATAAAAATATAAAAAAATCAATGGCTTGATCATTTTCTCTTAAATTTATTTCATTTGATCCTTCATTGAAACACCTTTATATTGGTTACAAATATGACATTTGATATATAAATATTAAGGGTTACACATAAATTTATAACATTTTCACTTCTCACATAATTTCTTTTGACTTTATGCCTACATAGTTTAATAGTCATATCCCTAACGAAAATCTGAAATAGAATGAGATATTTTATATTTATAGATAATTTGATAGGTGCTCACAGCTAGCAATCAGAAATCATTAATTATAGACAATTCTATCTTTTATAAGTCTCTAATAAATGTAACTTCTAAAGTAGAAAGAGGTCAAGGGAGTGTCATATGTGTCAACATAAATAAACTTATATGTGGGAAAAAATAATATGGAGTGCAAGTGTCTATAGAACAATCTCTGCTGAGCTCCCACACATAAATCCAATGGTTGCTAAAGAAACGTTGCCACGTTAGATGTTTTGGGGGTACGTGTCAGTTCTACGTCACCTGATGGCCAATTGATGTGACTTAGTTGCTGTATATTAAATTATGCAAATCTAAAATTTATAAAACTAGAAAATATGATTTTTCAGATATTTAGAAGTATTTATGAACAAATATATCAATTATAATTCAATAAAACTTCCAAAAAATAGCAGTAATTTTCCAAGTCGATCATAGGGATGTAATATAATATCTGGTAATTATTCAGAAATTTTCTCAAAGAATAATATTTTCTATGAATTTTATACTAAGAAATGAAAAGGAAATATATTTAAAATTCACAGAAAAAGGAAATAAGGGTGCGGACATTAGGAGGACGTCAGCGTCCCGGCGAACACAAATCGGGCAGAAATAGAGTTCCGCCTGGTGATTCTTACATAAGTGATTACAGACGATTTAATTAATCAAATTAAGATCTGTAAAAGCCGGAAGAATCGTAATTGAATGAAGTATCTTTTGGTAAATTAAAATCACAAAATTATCACTAAATGAAGCGTAAAGTAAGTTGAAAGCAGGAAAATAGAGTTCCGGCGTCGCGACGGGGATGCGTTGGCGATGCACCGGAATCCTGAGCGTTCAGGAGGATCGTCGTGTAGTGTCCACGGCCTCGAAGGCTCTCCTTGGACAAAGACGACGTAGGCAATCTCTAGATCTCCTTGCGAAGTCTAGAGATCAATAAAATGGGTCGTCGAATCGTATCCGGTGACTGTCACCCGGCGGAACAGAAAAATGACGACTTTGCAGCTCTCTAGCGGCTGTCACCCGACGGAGAGGAGCTAGATGGAGGTGGGGCGCATGTTAGGGAGCTTCATCCTCAGGTCCGCGCAGCAAGAGGAGACTCTTCATCGCATCTAGTATGCTCTCAGGAGGCGGTGACTCGTCTCCCGGCGGATCGTCCTCTTCTCGACGACGGCTTGTTCGTCGATCAATTGGAAATGATTTACTCGATAGATTCGCGATCCTTTTATCGTGAATCCTTTAGCAATTTTAGTAACAATGCTCCGCAAATTGCGTTGACGAGATTTTTGACGATGATCCAACGATTTTAGTTGCTTAATCCTTCACCGACAATCTACAGGAAAGTCGTGATAATCAGATAAAAATATGAGTTTTGGCTCTGGGAGGATTCGAACCCGCATTGGTTGCCCCCGCCTCTTCTGAGGAAGCTGACACGTTTAGTCCCACATCGGTTGTGTGCCGAATTTTCGAGCAAATATATAGTAATGTTACATTTATAAGCAAAGTCCCTTTCTCGTGCGTGTACGACCACTCCTCGCCCCACAGTCGGCTGGCCACCGGTGACATGGAAGGGGAGTGGCACACATGTGCCCCCATCGGTTCAAGCCGCTCGAGCCTCGACTCGCGGCTACTCCTCGACTGTGCTTTTGGACCCGTTTGCAGGCCCGACTGGCCGACAAGTCCCCCCCATTTTGTTATATTTTTATTTTAATTTATTTTCCTTCATTTATCTCAAAAGTAAGACTGTAAAAATCATATAAAATCACATAATTACCCAAAAAGTTACGTTAATTAATTAAAAACTATTTTTCATACTTTAACACAAATATAAGTCTATTTATCATGAGTTAAGGTTAAAATTATATTATTTAATAATTATTAATTCATGATAATGAAGACTTATCACCAACCCTTTCTTATCTATTATGCAGTCCTATTCTCATCGTCTTCTACCTCGCTCACCTTCGAACCACACTTCTCATGACGTTGGATCATTTCAATTGATCCCATCCCCACCACCCTTCTTAAGCTATGTTGGCCTCTTCTCTACCTCTACCACCAAAAGATGGCTTCTCTCCCACTAAGTCTCATCCTTCCTACTGCAATAGCTTTCTTCATAATTGAGCTCCTATATTGTGCCATCACTCATGTCACCCCACCTTCCCCATGCTAGGCATTTGTTGAGGTGCCCATCTTGCCCCTCAACCACATGGAAGAGATCCCAATTGACATGTGGAAAAGATCCCAACAATAAGTGAGAGACCATGAGCCAATCAAATGACAAGGTTCCATTAGGCTTGGAGAAGGGCAACATAGAAGATGACTCATTATGATTAGAAAAGGGCGATAAAGCATAGAAGTGGTCGGGTGATCAAAGTATTATTTTGAGTCTTGTATCTCTAACTAGAGAAGGGGAGATTAAACATCTTGAATTGGTCATCTTGGGAGGTTCCTCTGGGTCCCTCTTCCATCTATCCTCTAATCTATTATCTCTCACACATTTTCTTTTGTTTTTTGAGTAAAAGTTCATCCTTTGTCGCATTCCTCTCTTTGTCACATCATCATCTCCGAGGCTCCATCAGCTTCACCTTGCTAGAGTTGCCAACAGAGGTGCTGGACCTCGTCGAACCAGCCAATGCCTCCTCCATGTCCAACTTCTCCCTCCCCCATATCATCCCCTTCGTCACCCTCCCCTCATTTCTTAGCTTCTGCTTCTTTGGGCTTCACCTCCCTTCCCTGGCCTTTCCTCCCTTTTCCACAACCAGCTATAGGGGATACATGGCAGCCTCCTGCTTGAAGAAGAAGAGGATAAGAAGAAGAAGAAGAGGAGAGAGAGTGAGAGATAGAGATGATGATGATGATGATGATGATCCTTGGGAGCTGAACCACCGCTGGTTATATGTTGGACCATAGTTTAGTGGTTTAGACCATTGAACCACATACAAAATATGCCCATTATTGTCGATCTTTCATTGTGTTCAAACGAAGATAGTCAACATGATTATTGTATGAATTTTTATCTATTTTAAATTTTCTATGATCAAATTTGATGAGGAAGAAGATGATTACCATGACGGGTGAACAATCTTTGTTGATGAAGATAATGCCTCTATTTTGAAAAGTCATCTAAAATGGAATAAAAATTAATGAGATGAGATCAGGATCAAAATCAATTATAATTCTATATTTTTTTTCAAAAAATGTGGAGTAGTTAATAGCCTCTTACAAGTTTAAGGTTGGAGAAAAGCTTGAAAGAAAATAATGACCTCTAAAGCAAACTTATATGAAGCTCAAGGTCCCTATATATATATATATATATATATATATATATATATATATAGAGCTACTAGAGAGAAAGGGAGATGAGGAGAGAGAAACTATTTTCCGCTTGGTCCGCGAGACATACACGTGGCAAGAGGATGAAAATCTTTTTATTTTTGGGCCTTGTTTCAGACAAACCTTGATTACCCATTTATGGATGCGACGGTGTACTTAAGTGATTTTCTTTATTTAATCAAAATTAATACAAGTCGACTAAATATGGCGTTTTAAATAGGAGCCAGTAGTTTCTCCCCTGGCCCAATGATAGAGATGGAATCATCTCCGCCTCCACTGCCCAATCAGCACTCAGCGTTCGTGCCACGTGGCCCAATCAGGGCTTCGAACGCCTTATCCCGATCCGAGAGACCCAATCTTGGTTCGTCCAGTCACAAGCTCCCCCGTTATCCGACTCTCCCGGCCGACCAGAACAAGAGCAGAGTACAGAGGAGCGGAGGAGGAGCGAGAAAGAAAGAGAGAGAGCGCCACCGGCGAGGTAGAGAGAGAAAGAGCTAGAGAGATGGCGTCGACTGCATGCTTCCTACACCACCACGTTCCCTCGACGGCGGCGGCGAAGACGCCGTCGCAGCGGTTCGCGGTGGCGGCGAGGCCGTCGCAGCTGGTCTGCAGGGCGCAGAAGCAGGCAGATGCTGCGGAGGAGGGCCACGCCGCCCTCTCTCGCCGTCTGGCTCTCACCGTCCTCGTCGGCGCCGCCGCCGTCGGAGCCAAGGTCTCCCCCGCCGACGCCGCCTTCGGAGAAGCCGGTGAGCACAGTGCCGATGATCTGTCTCTTCTTCGTTTTTGAAGATCTTCGCTGGAGTGAGGGCGAAGTTTGGTGAGTGGACGAAGATCTGGATCCAATTGAGTTCTCTGTTTGATGCAGCGAACGTGTTCGGCAAGCCGAAGACGAACACCGAGTTCTTCTCGTACACCGGCGAGGGCTTCAAGATTCAGATTCCGTCCAAGTGGAACCCTAGCAAAGAGGTGGAGTTCCCCGGGCAGGTCCTGAGGTACGAGGATAACTTCGATGCCACCAGCAACGTCTCCGTTCTGATCCAGCCCACCACCAAGAAATCCATCTCCGAGTATGGCTCCCCAGAGGACTTCCTCGGTCAGGTAACAGCTCCCTCTCTCCCCGCTCGGTTTTCTGATCTGATTCTCGACGTGGACAGTGGAAGAAGATCGATAATGGATCGATCCCCTTGCTTTGGAATATCGTTGTGAGGACCTTCGAATGATCGCCATCCGCGTCCTAAATCATCCATCCTCTGTTGAATTCTTCGGAACATGCGATACCTAGTCTAATGTTTACTATTCTGATTTAAATCGACGATGTGACTCCAAATTTTTTGATGATCTATGTCCAGTTCCTGATTTAATTTTTTGACGATATTCGATCCTAGGCCTCAGATGTAATCCAGTTCTTGATCCGTGCAGGTCGATTACCTGCTGGGGAAACAGGTCTACGGCGGTAAAACCGACGCCGAGGTGAGCCGCAGATCGAACTATCGCCCGATAATTCCCTCCATTCCCCGCCCCGTTGATCTGTTCATCTGAAAAACGCTTCTCCATCTCTGCTCTCGATCGAAAACCTAACCAGGGCGGGTTCGATAAAAATGCCGTCGCCACCGCCAACATTCTGGAGACCTCCACCCCGTCCATCGCCGGGAAGGACTACTACTTCCTGTCGGTTCTGACGAGGACCGCCGATGGAGATGAAGGCGGCAAGCACCAGCTGATCACGGCCACCGTCTCCGGCGGGAAGCTCTACATCTGCAAGGCCCAGGCCGGCGACAAGAGATGGTTCAAGGGGGCCAAGAAGTTCGTGGAGAGCGCCGCCAGCTCCTTCAATGTCGCCTAGAGTGATCACAATGGGAGGTTGTAAATGAGTTGGATTCTGCAAGAAGAGCAGGTTTTCGAGCGCAAATCCATGTTGGAAGTTGGAGATTTGTGTGGGACTTGTAGCCTCTGTAGCCATAAACTTCAGCTATGGACCCATATCAAGCTCTCTTTCATAATTCTTCTCTGCCTCCATTCAGTTCTTATCCACCACCATCTGTTTCTACATAGATAGATAGAGATAGATAGATAGAGAGATAAATAGATAGGTAGATAGATACATGGAGCGAGAGAGGGAGAGAGAGAGAGAGAGAGAGAGAGAGAGAGAGAGAGAGAGAGTGATGGGACGTCTATATGGATAATCAAAAGGAAAATTCACATCCTTAACTATTTTAATTTTACGAAATTTTTAACAAAGATTTTATATTCAACTAATTCTATTCCCATATTTTTGACAAATCGCCTAAGATTACTAACAGATTATGAAACCATTAATCCAACCTAGTGGATCATTCCCTTGATACAAGGGATTTGATGGAGAGGCTCATTGTTCGAGTGAAATTAATATCATTATTGAGATCATTAACAATGGTCTTAAGGATTTAAACTTGTGTAGATATTTGTACCATTTATGTTTAATAGGGATATTAAAATCACACTTTAATGAATTAATCAATTTAAAATAATCGTACTTAAAGATCTGCCCTTCTCCCACACTTGCTATGGTACTTGTATGGACATGACAAGATGTTGATGACTGCATGCTAGTGGTATCACATTGGGCTTTAGCTGCATAGGATTTGATTACCTAGCCAATTAGATCATACAAGTTCATATTATTTTTGGCAAATTTGATAAAAAGAACTTTATTATTAAAGATTTTAAAACTTCTCAAAATACCATTCCAAACTATATATGATTAGTTGACTTTTTTGAACTTTTCAAGTCTTGCTTGATATTGAACTTGTCCAACTCACAAGTAAAACTAATATATGATATCAAGTGTAACTAAGAAAATGGTAGAGTTTTCGAGGCACCCATCTGAACCTCCAATGTGATCAAGAGCTTTATAAGCATGATGCAAGTGTTCATTAGACTGACAACATGATGTCATATAAGCCTTTTAGAACTCTCTTTTTCCTAGTATTTTGTTATTCAAGTACCCATTGAAAAACAATGCTCTTAATTTCCTTTTTTATTTTATTTCTTTTTATAGATTAACAAACTACACTTGGAAAAATATGTGTTTTTAACCATTAAAAGTCCAATTGTCAACACCTTGGGCTACCAACTTTTACAACACTTTTCTGTCTTGTGTACTCCTCTATTATTCCTTGGGCACTTACATCTCATGGGTGTTGACAATTAGTGTTGTAACGTTGACTTTTGTGCAAGAGATTCCTTATTTTTGACTATGAGACAACCCATATCTAGTAGCTATTGATTATTATGTACACTAACTTTTGCTTGCAAGATAAGCGTCAACACTTACCTTTTAGATGTTGACTCTTAAAGTAGTCAACTTTTTAGCATGGGTGATTGCCAACATTATTGACATAGGAATTTTTTTATATTGCTAATTAATTTGAATATCAACACTTATGCTGTGTAACTTGAGAAATTTTGTGGTTTCACATATATGAAAAAAAAATAATTTCCCCCCTCAATTTAAATAATTTTAAATTAAATAACCTAATAGATTTATACTCACCATTATTTTTTCTCATTAAGATGAATAAAAAATAGGACTTTTGTGTGCCTAAAGAACCTCAATACATAGGAATTGATGACTAATTACTTGGATTTAAAAAATATATGGGGTTTCCAAAATAAATTAAAATTTTTTAATTCATATTTATTTCTTGTAAACTATACATTTTATACTTCTACAAAAAGAAACTTTTCCTTTACTTATGATTACCCTCATAGGCCGTCTTTTGACCTAGGAGTCAACCCTTAGAGTCAATCGTCAATAAAGGTTTGAATTCTCGTTGACCATTTGATTGTTTAATACGTGTAACGCGTGTACAAACCATGGGGCACTCAGTGGGGTATAATATGAAGTTTACTTTAAGGTTTCTCTGGGCCTGGGCCTGATTATAAGGATGGGTTCGGGCCGGGCTTGATGAAGGCAGTGCTGCCTCAGCCCATTTGAGGCCCATCTGTTGAAGCCCTAAACCCTAAACCCTCCATCGTCCCCCGCGCCTACCTCCTCACGGGCCGCACTCCTCTTCTCCGCCCCTATTCGGTTCTTTCTCCTTGCAACCCTCGCATCTGACAGATTACGGGGGAGCACCGAACGATCTTACCGACGTACCCAAGGGAGGCGTTAATGGCGGTTAGATTACCTTCCCGTCGACGACTTGCTATTGTTCTTTCCATGTTTTCTTTTTGGGGTTTCGTTTGGCGAGTCCGCTGTTTCGTTTGTTCCATCTACGTTCTTCTCCCGATTTACAGCTCGAAGGGTTTAAGATCCCTTATTTTTTTCCGCTTTCGATGTCATTCCGCGCAAATTTTGCTTCATCGACTGCTATCTTGGGTTCCCTTTGAAGTTGATGGGTGCTTTAGGGTTTCGTCGTTTTATTGGCTGATGTTCCATATTTAGAGCGTCAGATTTATTTTCCTGACGGTCAGTGTTGCAGAATTTTTGTGCAACATTATTTGACTTCGACCCTCTGCCAGGATCATGCTCCACTTTGGTGTTGCTTGCTTGTCACGGTTTACTGACATTTTTTTAGATTTTTCCAAATTTCATTACTTGTATTACTTATTTCTACCTGTTGCTGTGATATACTAGCTTTATCCATTTCTCTCTCTTTCCGTCTTTTCGATTTCTTCCCTTCCGATTCATCTCGATTTAGGCGCTATGATTAAATTTCTCGTCAATACTCTGAATAATAATAGCCAATATCATTTCTTTTTAATCTGGTCACAATCATTGGCATTTTTTAATTACTTGTTCACGATCTTGAATAAATATTTGATTGTACTCTGGCCTCCATATTACTTTGTTTTTCATGTCTGCGGCACATTTCCTATATCTCGGGATCGCTGACATGCTTCCCTTTCTTAATCAAAGGAACACTTAAAGCTCTTTTTTTCTAAATGTATCATCTTGTTAATCGGACAGTAGAAAAATATGCCGTATATTAGGTGCAGCAGAGATAGAAGCTGCGACTCATTAGGTTATTTATTTTTAAACATGGGAAACCAGGGACCGGAAGAATGTGAGACATCAATGAATAAAACATAAAATTCTATCCGTGAGAACCTCACCGCTGAGCATTGCACTTTTTAAACGTCAGCAGCAGTGGCCGAACCAGCCTTGGTCAGTATCTGTGCGGCCATAGAGCACCAACGTGCCTCTGAGATCTATCATGTTTTATTGAACTCTAAAATTTTTGAGACTGTGGCATGGGTGGATTTTACAAGAATCCATCTTCTTAGTATTCTTCGTCATGCTTTTCTTTTTTTTTTTCCATTCTTGATTGTTTTTTTCAACGTTGTTTCTTTAAATTCTTGATTTCCAAATGCGCTGAAAATAATGTGAATTTTAGATTTATTTTTCATTTCCTAGAAACTCAGAAAGTTAACTTTTCTAAAATTCTATTATGGAAATCTGCTATGCTTTACTGAGGCCTTACCTTTTCAAACGGATTCAATTCAACCCCTCATTTATTAGATCCGTCCCATGGGGTCATATATTTATTGTCCATTTGATCAACAATTGCCGACGCCTTACTTGCGGTTTCATGAGTTTTAAAAGTTTACAGCCCCCTGAATCCGTAGTGTCAATGCATATAGGGGAAGTGTCTTCCTTCATCACCACAGACGTAACTCATCTGCGGACACCCGTTCGTATGGCTTTATACCATCATATGCTTCCGTTTCTATAATAGTTATTCAAGGTGTGGTGTTTTATTGCCACAACGTGATTTTGTTGCAATTTATGGAAAATAGCTTGCACCCTGAACTTATTAACACTATATTTGTTGTCCCCCCTATTTTTTGTCTCAATTGTCCCAGCCATGCATTGTGGGGCAGCTAAGACTGCATTTTAAAATTCGCATTGAAACTTCAAAGTAAATTCAATTTAAGTTCGGATTGTTGAAGCACTTCTCCCTCCCAGTTTATCTCAGACTTGTGTTTCTTCCCCCTGCCTGGGTGTTTAGTGATTGGAAACTCTAAATATTGTCAACGTAGAATTCATCAACCAACAAGATATGAACTAGTATTATGCATTTCTTACTTGTTAATAGCGTGACCAAAATCATAACGGGTACATTGATCTTAGTAAAGAAATCACTGAAGGTATAACCTAAAATTGGTTTTGGAAGCTGTAGTTATATAAATAAATGTTTGATATTTCTTGAAGAATATGATTATTTTGATTTATATATATTTGAAAATTATGAATATCATAAAAATGTAAAACTGAGCTTTGTTGCACTGGGTCTTGTTACTTAAGCAGCTAGGTAGTAGGCCACTCCCTTGACAACTAGGTTGCGACTATCTACCTTCCTTGGAGCATTTCAATTTCAAAGTTGTTTGCTGAACCCATGCATGGCTCTTTACGTGAATACTACGACTTGACATAAATCGTAGTCCTACAGTAGTCTTTGAGGATCTTCCTTTACCAAAATCTGCAGACATAGATACTTTACACACTGCCCGTCCTGACAAAATATTTTTTTTTTAATGGGGTTTACTTTTCATCCCTCACTTTTTTTTTTGATCCCCAAAGAGGACAGTAATCTATGTATCTTTCTCACCATTTTATCCCATACTGATCTGAGCTCGAAATCTTCCTTTTCGAAAATGAGTACTATGCCCACTCATATGATGGAAAACTTCTGTTGTCACTAAAATGCACACCGTTATGTAATGATAGGACTTGGTGTCCTTCATTGAATATTAGACACGTACTCAACTCACCCGCCTTTTCTAGTTCTTCTCCTTTGTTTGATATGACGGGAAGGTCAAGCATACGCACAGTCATCCTAATCCGGTACCTGGCTTATTATCATAGTCGGTAACATATAATTCATGCTGACGTAGATTTCCTGTGTAGCCTTTCTGAAGATTGAGGATCAAATTGCTATCACAAAAATATATTATATATCCTTTTATTTTTTGTACTGCCATTTGTGGACAGACCCCCTCAGCTTAAGCGCTCATTTTTTTGGTTATTTTCTCAACTTAAGTTGTAGCTGACCAAAATTAATGACGGATTAAATCTACATGTCAGCAAGTAAATTGAGTCAGTGTCAGTGTTGGTGTCTCTCTCTTCTGCGACTGGGGAAAAAGGAGAGTTTGAACAGAAGATTAGAGGGGAGATGTGAATGGTTATAGAAAGCAGTAGGACATGGCTTGGAGAATTGGGATTGATTATTTCCAATCCCAACTCAAGGAGACTTGTCTTTTTTTTCTATATCCTTGGTTGTTACTCTCTCTTGTCACAAATCTTTTCCACAAGAGTAGATATGGAAAATAATTTAGAAATCAAATTTTGGGGAATCGGTTTGGATGAGGACAACTATTGTTGATGCTGAAAGGAATAGCAGTGGAGAGATCATGCCATATGTGATTCATAAACTTTGAAAGATATAAAGAAATCAGACTCCTTGATAAGTTTGCTACCTTCCAATAGTAGCAATGGTGAATTTTCATAATGCTTCTATGAGGAAACGGAATTTGTTTGTTTAAGAAAATCAATGGATCTTCTTGAATTTTTTTTTTGTGAATTCAGAGGCGAACCGGTGAGATGCGCATCTGTGTGTACTTATCTTCATGTTATTAAATTTATTTTCTTTCTTGGAGAATTCTTTCTTTTGATTCTCTCTCTTGTTAGGACATGGATTATGTTTATGTAGAAATTCTTTGTTTATGAGCACAACTTCAACTCTCTTTTTTCACCGATTTCACCACGAGGAGATTTTATTGCAGACCATTCCAGTTAACCCAAAACCCTTCTTGAACAATTTGACCGGCAAGCCTGTGATTGTGAAGCTTAAGTGGGGCATGGAATATAAAGGTGACGAACTATTTGAAATATCTTGTTCATATTTAGAAACAGATGAATGTGTGACTTGTCACAACGCAGCTGTATCCATTTCTTTCTTCTTTCAGGGTTCCTTGTCTCAGTGGACTCGTACATGAACCTGCAGGTGGCGTCTCCATCTCCTCTACACTTTATTTCTTCTCTGAATTAACTTGATGCGAAGTTGACATTTTATTCAGATATTTTCTGTTTAATGCAGCTTGCCAATACGGAGGAGTATGTTGATGGAGAGTTCACAGGAAACCTAGGGGAGATCCTGATTAGGTAAATTGGATATTATGCTTATAATGATGATACTGATTATTTCTTAGATCGAATCGATTGGTTGCAAATCTAATATAGTTTGGAAGACCCAATTCATGATGATATCATCTAAGTTTGCAAAAAAAAAAAAAGCGGAAACTTTATACGAGGATCTGGCATAAAAAAAAATTAAAAAAGAAAAAGATGAACTGGTACCAAACAAATTCTACCTGATCTACAGTTTCTAATGAATTATTCTGATGAATTCCGTCTATAATAATAATAATAATTATTATTATTATTATCATTATCTTATGAGATGGATTATTATCTTCTCACAGGTGTAACAACGTGCTGTATCTTCGTGGGGTGCCAGAGGATGATGAGATCGAAGATGCCGATTGAGCCCAATCCGTCGGTCGCATGCCAGCAGCTCCTCTTCTGAACGAGAGAGTTGACTTTTGCTTGATGTACATCTACCTATTTGATATTTTCTCCGATGAAGCTGCCGAATTGACTGATCCACGTCGCCGTTTCCCTTCAATTGCCCAACTTTTCTTCATCTGGCAGTTTCTCTGTTTAAGGGGGGCCGTCAGGAGAGTTAGATTCTTGATGCCACGTGGCCGTGGGGTAGAAGATTTTGTATAGGTGGGCAAGGGGTGGCCACGTGGCGGGGGGAATGGGTTTTGGAATAGGCTCAGGTTGAAGCAAAACGGGCCAGCTCAGACCGGGCTTACGTGGCAGGATGCCGCCTCTACTGCAGGGCTTTTGTCTGGGGCTAGCTGGAGAGAAGAGGGTGGCCACGTGGCAGGAGGAACCTTCATCAACAAAATCGGGTGGTAATTCTCCAAGGGAAAGCGTTCATCCGGCGGCGGGGTAGTTGACCTTCCCAAAAAGGTCCCCGCCCCCCTCCTTTTGACCCAATCCATCTTTTAGGTCGGCCCATGAAAATGAGGCCCAAAGTAATTGGTTAGGGAATTGGGCCCAAAGTAGCCCACTAGAAAAAGGCCTATCATAGCCTCGAGGATTTTAAAAGGCCCACCCTTTTTTGATAAGCAGCTGGGCCCGGTTTTGTCTGCCGTGAGGCCCACTAAAATCTTCTTGCGTTTGTCCTTGGAAGCGCTTCCTCTGTTAAGCTGGGCCGCATATTGGGCTCTATTGGGTTAAGATAAAGCCCAGAAAAGAGGAGATCCCCACCGCCGTTCAATTGAGCCATCGACGGTCCAAAAGCCCGAATCGAACGCCCAATGGAGTTGAAGATAAGGAGAAATGACTTAAATATCCTTTTTTGTTCTTATCCGTTGTGTTCTGATAAACTTGGTATTCTTCTTCGTACTCCGGCGGGGCACAGGAGAGAGTTTCGGGGGTCGGAGACGATGAGGGCGAAGGTCAGTTCTGATGTTTATTGTTCGTGTATATCGTCTCCTGGTTATCTACTGTTTGACCTTGTTTCTGTTATAGCCTTCGGTGTATCCTGGCTATCATCGGATTTGTTGTTCACCTCGTTTGTTCCCCCTTTTGTTGGTGGTTCTGTTTTGAATCTTCTAAGTTTTTTTCAGATTGAGACTCTTCGATGTGACTGTTCATTACCTAGTACTCAGTGTCTGCGTGTCTGATAGTTGCTGCCCTCCATTTTCGAGTTTAACTTGTTTTTTTCTTTTCGCGACGTCGAGGAAGAGACATCCTTAAATTTGTAACCGTTGGCAGATTATCGTGTCATGCTTCTGCTTTTGGCTGCTTGCGTTGGAGTTTTTGCGATGTATTTTTTTAAATCAATCTTATTGTAGTTGTTGCCGGATATCTATTGAGCACTCTTTCCCTCATTTGTTGTTGCAGTTATAGAAAAAAAATCTTCTTATAAATCTCCGTTCACATTTTATCCCTTTTTTTTAACCTAATGTGGCGGTTCGAATTACATATTTCAATGTATTGGTGCGTTTAAAAATGCACCAATACATTGAAAATGTATTTATTTTCATCGCTTACCTTACCGCGGACATGGTTTATTTATTCGACATAGAAAATAACCTACAGCCATCAGGTCTGTTTTTGACCCTGCATTTATTTCTAATCACATTAAAATTATCACGTGAACTGATGAATGCTGTTGACAATGAACAAGTCTTTGTTTCGAGTTTTTGGGCTGTTTTTGTGGCACAGAGGAAGGTCAATTTTTTTATAACGGCATGGTTTCTGTTCAATCCATTTTTAGTTAAATTGTGATTATCTTTGGACCTCATAGAAGTTGTGGACAGTGACGAATTTTGTGCAGGCTTATGGTTATGACTTTAGGATGAACATCCCCACATCGATTTACTCCAAGCTTTGTGAAAATCTAAATCTGAGGCAAATCTAATTATAACATGCCGGCCATCTACTGCACCTATATTTATTTCCTTCTCAAATTCATTTATTTCCTGTTTTTTAGACTTCTCTTTGATTTATCGGAGACTTAATTTGCCATACGTCAATTTCCCTATAATTGCATTCTCAAATGGAGTTGATAGCTCCGCTATCTCCTCATCTGAGTATGCAATAATTCTATATTCCTCTTTCATAAAGAAGTCCTTAATTTCAACTGCATTTGTGTATTTAGGTATTATATGGGCGGTTTTTATGGCTAAAGTGTTGGTATTTCTATTTTCTTCAATCAATAAGCGTTGTATGAACTCAGGAGGTCTGCTGTTACCATCGTCTGGCTTTACTTGGTCCTTGAAAAGTGCAGCCCAATCGATATTGGGTTGCGGGTTAAGGGTATTTACTCTAGGTTCATTCGTGGGGTTGGAAGGGTTAGCATGCTTGATATGGGCAATGGGAATGTTTTTTCTTTTTTTTTCTAAAACGGGTGGGTGTGGCTTAAGGGGTAAATGCCAAGATTGTGTGTATTCAATCTACTTTTGGGCTTGAAAAAATTACCGTTTGTTAGTATTTGTGTGCTTGAAAAACTTTCTGTTTATAGTATTTGTGTGCTTGAAAAACTTACTGTTTAAGTCAAGTTTTAAAGTTTTTTTTCTTGACTAAATGCAGTGGAAGAAGAAGCGCATGAGGAGACTTAAGAGGAAGCGCCGAAAGATGAGACAGCGATCTAAGTAGGCTGAATAAATGAGAGAAGAACATCGCTGGAAGGGACCCCCTCCCTCCCCATGCTGTCTCGGTTGCGACAGCTTGTGATGTGGTTTTTGAGCTTCAGAGTGGGTTTCATGTAATCAATGTTTTCTCAGACTTGGTATGTTTTGTTTGGGAAGAGAAGACCCGTGAAGGTTGACGCCTTTGCTGCTAGTTAATCAAATATAGAATGTTTCTCCCTCTTTCTAGGTCCTTTTCATTAATTTCATGGTGCCCGGTTGCCTGCTTCAATCCTATATAACAACTCTTTTTCTGGAGTATTTTCCGAGGCTAAATGATTCACATAGCCTCTAGTATCATATTTCTTCTGCCATCTACTTGGAAAACTTATCATATTTGTTCAATCTGTTTTTTTTTTCTGCAACTTTGAATGGGTTCTTCCAATGGAATGTTACTAATTAAATGCACCCAATGGTGGCCGACTGTATGCATGAGATCAGGGACCATTGGTAGTTCCATTACTCTTGATTGGTATCTAGGTTGATTTAGGGCTGAATTGGGTAATTTACGGCTTGGGGTTTATACAGGGCAGATTTGGGAATCACCCTCAGGTTGATTTGGGAATCACCCTCAGGGAAGTGTAGGGTTAACCAAGAACACATGATAGGTAATAGTATATCTTCCTACTAACGTAGCCTTTTGGGTCTTAGCTCGCCTGTCACCTATCAATAATGATGGCCTCTCAATAGTAAGAACTTCCCCATGTATCTACCCACGAATAGATCGGTATAACTCATCCAATCTAAGGGAAATACTAACTTAGAGCAAGTAGAAGCTTACAATAGGATAAATTTATATGCAAATATATATATATATATATATATATATATATATATGTGGTTTGGGACTTATTTGGATGTATTACTTGGTGACTCGACCACTGTAGTATGATGATAATAGTACTAATAATAGTAATCGTAGGCCAATGAAATAGTAGTGATTTGTATGTAATGACAGCCAACAGCTAAAATATCTTTAGGATTCCTCTCTTAAACTATATGCTGTACAATATGGATTCCTCTACCCAGTTCAAAATATGCCAGAAGAAGAAATCTGCATCCAATATATCATATTAAGTCAATGATAATCGGACGTAATTCCTTCCATTAGGGAATGGCAAACATTAAGCATTTAAAGTTCGATTTATAAAGATAATTCAATTTTTATGCATTATATAATCTGGATTAGTCACTTAGATAAATTTGGCCTGTATTTTTTCGAAAGTCTTGAGCAGCCAGAATAACAATTATGAAGGAATGAGACAATTCTCTTCCATGCCTTATCTCCTCGCGCCACACATCTACCATGAACCAGACTTAGACCATGATGAAGCACATTTAACCCTAATGTCAGGAGGATCATCGAGTGGGACCCAGATAACAGATAAAAGTCAACACCGACTTGAAAAAGCAAAAAAAAAAATTCGGGTTGATAACTCCAGTTACCTTTTTAGACAAATTAAAGTTAATCACCGCGATCAATACAAATTTGCATAAAAAAGTACATTTTTCTTCGGGAAATATGCTGGGAAGTTTGCTCCATGTGAATACAATACAAAATTTCCAGTGCCCACAAGGCCTGTTTAAATAAATAAAAGCTGAAAAAATAATAATAAAAAATCCGAAATCTAACCTCAGCGCAGAAATTTCATTTCTCGGTGTTCCATATAATGTATACAATACTTGATTCGGGATGTTGAACAAAGAAGCCAGATTATTCTTTTCCCAACGGGAACCAAAACTTTCAGAACCTCAAGCCTCTGAAGAATTCATGGATTCCCGCTCAATCTTGATTGAATAATTTCTCAAAGAAAGTCCGGCATCCAAGAACATATCCAACAACCACCAGCAATCCTCATACTCCTTGGAGCTCAAGCAGTTAATGTAGTTGTGTTCTTGCGAGCTTCAGCGGTGAAAAGACCCTCCAACGCTCAGAGATCACCGCCACTGTTGAGGGCTGCCAATTCATTCTTGTTCGGCCTCCTTTCCAGCAAGGACGCCAAGAATGTCGAGCACAGCTTGGTGAGAGGTGCGAGAGCATGGGATGGCCCAGTGAATATAGTCTCCCATGGTCTGTCTGACGGTATCGATGAAATCATTGGGGCCGCTTCCTCCCTAGGGTTGAATCTGGGGAGCTCTCCATAAACGGCAGTATACCCATATGATCCTGAGAGAGAATGAAGCTCAAGTTAGTTAGGTTCCTGGTCTGTTTAATTATTTGGAAAGAGGGTATCTCCCAATTCTAGAGGGAGAGTCACAAAGAATCTCTTGAGATCGCCACTCTGTTGATCTCATTCTTCATTTGTAATATTAACTAAAGGTTCTTCCAAGAAGATTGGAGATAGAACGAAGATTGCAGATGCCTAAAAACATTTGTTACTATAAAATATGAGTGATAAATGAACATGAAACATCTTGAGTAGAGACTCAGGTTGTCGACAACCTGAGTGCCTCTTAATTTCGTCTGAATCTAAGTGGGTTTCCTTTCCTCATTTGTCCTAAGAACACACTGTCCACCCCTCCACAATCAGGGGGGCTGAGATCCTTGTTCTATGGGGCCATAGAACGATGATTCATAAAATGAGTTAAAAAACAAGTAATTAAGTAACCAGAATGTGAAGAGGTTATACAACAGTATCTACCTGCTTTTTCATCATAGACACGAGAATCCTGGCCACCTTTTCTGATCCGATGTGCCTTATTGGTGAATGGATCAAACACAATGTACTCATGCTCGTTGTTTATAAATGCAAGCAACTGTGAAGCAGTTCCCTCCGTCACTTTCCCATCATCAAGAGTTGGGTCACGATCCAAGAAAGCAAGTCCGCCCCCTTTGGCCTAAATAAGCAACATAATAATAAGAAGAAAGGAAAATATTCAACTTAATGGACAATGACGTTGATTAAACATGGCTGATGATCAAAGAAAGGGAGAACGGAAAGCTGCAGCCATCGGAAGCAGAAGAGGAAACCCAAGAATGATAATTAATCATCTATGCTTCTTTCATCTTGATGGAAATGGTTCAACAGTGAATAAAGAGGGCCTCATAAACAGAAGGAATTTTGAGATACATGGCACGAGTCTTGTGCTTCTTAAAGGATGGAAAAACTTACCTTCCTCACAAGCCAAGTGGCAACAGGATTTGGAAGTCCCGCATCAAAAAGTAAAATTAATCCGTCCTGGTCTTGGAGGGTAGAACCATTGATGGAAGTGGGCAAAAGTGCCAAGACGGCAAAATGAGTTCCATTCTCAGAGCATGCAACAGCTGCACAAGAAAGAAGATTCATTAAGCAGATTTATTTGAGTATATACTCAAATAAATCTATATACTCAAAATAGTCCTAAAGGCTATTTGAGTATACAGATCACCTATTATTATCTCTCATCCATCAATCTTACAGCCCAGGGGGGAGGAGGTGGGTGGGGGAGATTATGTACCTTCTGTAAAGAGCTTATAAGACCAGCATAGAGACAGTCTCGTCATATCCCAAACAGCTAACTGTGGTTTCAAACCTCGGGATGCTGTAACTAGATAGTTTGAATCCCCAGTAAAGACAAGGTTCACAATAGGCTGCTGAATAAGGAAAATGAAAGGTAAACGTAAGAAAATATTTTCTCTAAATCCAACTCATAAATTTAAGTGAGGGTTACGAGGAAAGACAAATTTGTTGCGAAAAAAAAGTTAAAAAAAAATCAGAATTTAAAACTGTCTCAATAAAGTTGAGAAGGTGACCATGAAAGTTTCTCCGATAACGGTCACAAGAACATTGGTATCAGGATCCCATAGCGTCACAACTGACTCTGCTGCAACAGCTAGAACAGTGCCATCAGCAGAAAATGCAGCAGCTGTCATAGGCCTTTTCCTGCATGCACGAGATATTACCTAAGCCAAACGCTATAACACAGATGAAACTACAAGGGTGCCAAGAAAAAATCGCTCCAAGGGTGCCAACAAGTCAACGTACAGATGAGTATTAACAGATATCGGCCATTAGAGCAGGTGCGTGTGTATTACACCGCATGTGAACTAAGACTGAAAGCTGGGTACGGTATGAAGAAAGACTCAGAAATATGCATTGAATTGGCACCAACACTTTACCATTCTTTTACTGAAACTACCGAAAAATAACTAAAGATTTTAAATGGGAAAATAGCGCATCCTGCAAAAGCCTGATAACGAGACATTCCTGGCAGAAATATTTACAACAATTATGTCGTAATTGTAACCAAGATCATGAAGGTATCTGGAGATTGTTAAAACTATTCATGATCAATTTACCAGACAATATTTCATCTTTACCTAATATCGACGAATCACAGGATGTAATATTTCAGTAATTCTAAAAACACCAAGCTTTCTTCAGGGGACTATTACTAACTGCGCCTGTTTAGTTCTTTTTAATTTAGTATTCATTTTCTTTCGTACAGTTTCATTTATCAGTTAAGTGTATGCTCAATGGCTGTAGTCCTTTCACGAGAGTCCACATTATTTCCAGCATGTTTCAGCGAGAATTGGCTTGTCCGAAAATACCTATAAACTTCAAAATCAATATTGGGCAGGCATTTTTCGTCGAAGTTAGCTAAAAGTATTTTCTAAAAACAAAAACAGTCAGATCTAGCATTTTATTTGATTGATACCAGGAACCGTAATCAGAAAGTCTATATTACTGTTCAGATAAACTGAAAATAGTTCATGATGTTCATGTAAATATCTAATCATCTCAACACCCCGCAGAAAAGCATTTCTTAGGAAAGTAAAGATTAAAAAAAATGCTAATCAAAATTATGGTGGACTTTTGGAGAGCATGAAAATCGCGTACCTGTATGAACCTACAGATTGACATCTCCAACCAGATTTCTGGAACTTCTGATATTTCTGTTCTCCAGATTTAGAAACCCAAATCTGAAGGAAAAAAGAAACGAATCAATTAGATACTAGGGACCCAAAAACCCATATACATACACATGAACGAGAGAGGAAAACTGGATTACCTTAAAATCACCTCCAAAAGAAGAGCTCACAGCCATACTTTTATGAGGGTGGAAAGCAAGAGCAGAAATCCCAGCATCACTACAATTAAAAAAATGAATAAGCAGAGAAACATAACACAACAAGAGCAGAAAAAAAAATGCAATTATAAAGCTGATTAAATGATAACAAAGAAAACAAAACTTGGAAAGAGAATAACAAGATTGATCATAAAACATAAAAAATCTAATGCTCCTTTTACAAGGGTTATCAATTTTCCAACATTAGGAACACTATTAGAAAGCATCTACCATATATTAAGATACATGCATGGAAGAATCTTAAGAAACCATACATCTATTCAAGCTTCTGTTATTTTCATCTAGTAGAAAACAAACTTTTCGTATCTCAGAGCATCAACCACGTAGGCTACAGTACCAACAAGACATTGGCATTAACAAAGTCAATGTTTATATCTAAAAAGCTGGAGATGAGTGAAAAGGATGATGCAAAGATTAACCTGTGAGGTTCATATACGACAGTTGATAAAGAATAATCACCAGCTCGAGACCCACGTGTCCAAAATTTAAGACATACAAGGCCTCCAATTCCCTCCTCAGGCAATTTAACTTCAACAGTTCCCATATTTGAGCCATCTAAGGAAAGAGTAAGAAGAGATAAAACCACCTGCAAACGCAAAAGTGAAAGAAATTAGAATTGAAGAGGAAAAAGGATCAGTTGAAAAAGAGCTGAACCGGCACGAACATTTTGTCAAAAAAATCCGTGTCACATAAGGTCATCACCAGAAAATAACCTAACAGTGAAACACAAAGACCTATTCCATTAAGCTGGTTTTCACGAAATCTAGCAAAGGAGACGATAATTTTATATAATTTAAGAACCAGATCCCTGATGGACAACATCCGTCATCAGAAAGCGTACTCAAAGGTCTACTAAATAATTAACAGGCAGAAAAAACTATATAAATTAAGTAGAACCAGGGAGCAGACGTCAGAGTCCCATTGATTCTGGACAAGAGAAGCAAATTCCACGTCGGTATTTTCTTCACATAGAGTCTAGAAAAAAAAGGCCACAAAGCATATTGTTCCCTTTTGATGGGTTGTGCATACCACACAATATACGCTGCAAACACCATTTGTTCAGAATGTGGTATTCGTTTAACTACTGGATAGTTATTTTAAACAGAGAACAGATATCCGAACAGATGTCTCGTTACTCCATCTGTTACTGTGGGGTTCATAATGAGAGCCTCCATTCCTCCGCTCCAAAAACAATTGGCCACTCTCATGTCTCATTCCAGATCTCCATTATATGTTGGGTGCATTAAGATCTTTGTACCAGGTTGAATACCATCCATTAGATGCGAATGTCTATCAATCATAACAATCTTGTCTTAAAAAATGGTCCATTAGCAAGCTTTTCCATGATAACGCAACAACTAATCATTTGATCGGATGTGCCCAACTTGAACCAATTGAATTTTCTGTAAGAAAAATATAAATTGTTGCAGACTTTATTTCATTTAGGATTAAAAGCTCTCATAAAATCTGTTGCTTGGGATCTCTCGAATACACAGTAACAGGATCTTCGACATCACAATAAAAACTGAATAGATGGTAGGGAAAGCAAATGATCAGTTAAAAAGTTGACCACTGTAGAGCTTGTTGATTTGGGGAGCATCATACATCTTAAACCCCAATTACGACAAAAGCAAACAGGGAAAGAAATCCATGAGGTACAACAAGATTAAAGTCTACTGCAGCAATGAACCCTTCCAAATAAAGGGTATTCACCGACGATCTATGTGTAAAAATTAACTCGTACCAGGCTTCTATGGCTAACGATCCAGACTAAGATCCTTTGACATCTTATTTTTCATTTGACTAGCAATCCTACCCTAGTCGGTTGAGTTGAAATGAAAACTAACAGAATTTTAGGGAACCAGAAAACGCAAAGGGAGAAAGGAAACAGAAAAAAAATCCCAAAGGCACTAGGAACATCCCAATTAATGGGCCTAATGTTAGACTGCTTCCCCCACACCAGACAAAATAAAGGCATCAAACCATACTAAAAGAGCAATAACTTCCCACAGACTCAAGCATATTTGTCCTCGGTAAGAAAAGGAACTTCAATAAAAAATTCAAATAAAAGACAAGCATCAATTACTGAGAGCCGGGGGAGGGGGGGTGGCGAAAAACACAATATCATCATCATAACAAAGTTGCCATTTTCAAAATGTTTCACGAAATTAATATTTGTTCTTTTTCTTTACAGATCAGTGATGATATTGGTTGGCATCTGATAAACATTAGGGGAGAAAGGCCACTGAAGTACACCCCTCAACATTTCAGCTGTGGCTAGTTTCTGGCACTGGCTGCCTCATGAAATGTGTCATGACCGACAAAGAGCAAAAAATTAACAGCGCAAAAGCACAGAAAGGAGAAAACACATGCAGGACGAATTAGAGTGCCTTTTGCATATTAGAAGAGAAAAGTTTGGAACAATAACAAGGAGTGGGATGACAAAAATCATTTTTCATTAAATAATGAAGTGATAGAGAGCATACAGTGATGTCATCGACAGGTTGATAGTTCCTTTCACATACTTGAACCTGTATAGAAGCGGAAGTCCAACAATCAAATTAACGAATCTATCTTCTAACAGGCCAAACCAAACAACGAAAATTGCAACAAAAAGCATCAAACGTGTATACTAAGACAAGTAAATATATTACAAACCTGAGAAATCTCTGCATCATAAAACAAGCTGAAGAGCTGTACACAAAATGCTTCTGTCCGTAAAGCAACAAAGCCAGCAGCATGGTCAAAGGCAAATCCACTGAATAGTTCTCCATAAACTCGCGGAAATGAAAAAGGAAGCTGAACAGAACATGCAAGCACGTATCTTATTAGAAATAACCATGATAAATGGTTGGCAATAATGTAGGTCGGTTTACGTTTAACAAAAATATTTGAGAAGAAATTGAAGCTTTGCAAAAGAATATATTGACTTTCTGACCGTCAGACAATAATTTGCTGATTGCCAAATTCTCTGTCAAGAGTTATATAACCAAAACGAAATATGATCAGCATGAAACAACACAAACAAACCTTGATTCCAGATATTGACTTTACAATCTTCATTGAGGACATGTTGACTATTTGAATTTGGTTGTCTGCACAAGATATCTGAGAAAAACAAATTATGTTTCAGTGAAGGTAAATAACTATTACCTGACCATCAAAGAAAAATATGCTGCTGATGATGGATATCTTCACAATCAAAGAACAAGAAGAGCATGACAAATATATCAGCAATCCGTCCCCAACCCACCACTCGAAGAGAGAAGAGATAACCAGGAAAGGAGATAATAAACACGATGTATTGAAACACGATGATAACTTTAACGTGAAATCGCGCAAAAGTTTTTAAAGCAGGTTAAGAATTAAATCCAACGAGATTCATAAGAGAAGTCAAGCAGCACAGGGAGCTACTGCTACAGATATACTTCATCCATGAAATTGACGGACATCTCAAATATCGTTTAGAGGGAGCAAAAACTCAGTTAGAGATGTCCAATAGCAAAACATGTCCGATAACATATATGCATTTTGATAACAGATGGAGACATACAATGATAATTTTTTTATCGCCAATAATTACAGAAAAAAGAAGTTTTTTAGTAAAAATCATATATTTTATAAATAGGCATGCTGCACATCTCTAACCGTCATAAAAGGATGAACGGGCCTTCCATGTCTCCTATCCACGGGCATATTCACAGAACATACCATATTGAAAGATTCGATAATACTCAAGATACTCAAGATAACTCAAGGTAATTCAGTTCGCCTAGGGTGAACACAAGGAGACCTTGCAATCTACACCCTAAAATTCCAACCAAACCCTGATTACGCACAAAGCATTATCCATAACACCCTGAATTTGCATCTCAAATGATATATTTAAAATAAAAGCTTTTTGTGTTTCCAATATACCCAGAAAATGTGACCTATAAAACCCTTCTAATTTTCTCATCCTTTTTTTCCTCCAACTCTGGCAATTCTGCTGGCATTAATATCATCTCAATTAGATAACCATCTGCTTTTCACAGTAAGATGTTCGTCTTGGAGACGACGGAAACCCCCTTTTTTAGGATCTGTATTCTTGTCCTCTTGGGTTGTTTGAAGAAGCCTTCCCCTTCTCTTCCAGGATCCGCTTATCAATTTTTAAACTTGTGCAATTCAGTTTTGTTCTACCCCGCAAAACATCTGGTTTGCTGCAACATTTATTTTCCGTTGTAGCCTGAGTGTCGAAGGTAAGAAAGGTGCTAAAAGAAACATTTATGCAAGGAAAAAAAATCCCCAATAAAATCTGCAGATTCAATAAATGGCTTCCTTATTCGATGATATTCTACTCATTTTTACCAGCAATCTTTGTTTTAGGTTCCATTTAGTAATGACTTATTCAACTCTCACTTCAGTCATGGCAAATATGTTTTTATTTCTCAAGTAGTTAACCATCAATTGATAGTTTGCCTTTATTAGGAACGAATATGGACCCAGAGCAAGCCACTGATATATTGAGTCATCATGGCCAAGTAATGTCCCAGACATAAATTTAAGTTCTTGTCTCTTCTAACGGCGTTTCCCATTTACTAAATTTTCAATGAAAAAATGTCTTCACAGAAATCTACCCAATATTGCATGAAGAAACACGGGAAATAAAATGAAAAAGTAAGACCAAATCTCTTTCTATCAGTTGACCGCGCTTCCTAGAAGATGTATTCAAAGTACAGCACTGCAATCTGGAAACAAGATGTATACAATTAATTTTATCTCTTGTTGATGTGGCTATTCTAAGACTGAAGTTGTACTCTTTGCCTTAATATATCATCAACGTTTCAGCGAAATGTCTAGCGGGACAGCATAAAGCTTAGCCTGGAGCCTTGTCAGTTATGTGCCAGAGCAGGAACCAAGCACCTAAACCTGTCATTTCAACTATAGAAACATAGTAGATTTTGTGAGGATTGAGAAATGCATGCTTCTCACATAGTAATAGGATTAAAATTTGAAAAAAGTACAGTGGCATCAAACAATAAGCACACTTATAAAGTCTCACAACATGAGAGAGTATTCTTACACAGGCGAGTGAAGGATCTGGAGAATGAGTAAAATACAGAAGAGGAGATCCTATTCGTGGTAAAAACTTCTTCTTCCCTGTGTCTATTTGCCACAGCACGAGAACCCCTTCCTTTCCACCTGAAGACCATGAAGAAATTTTTAGTATGAGTCGGAAATCAATATTACATGAGCGAAATCTAACGGAATCCACTCCATTCCCAGTAGATCAGAGTTATGAGCAGCAAAAGTTCAAAAAACTCGACAAAAGGATTAACTACTGAATTTCAAAAGTTTTCATAAATCAATATTTATAAGTTTTAAAGAAAGGGGACATCCAGCATCAACGTCGTCCCCCAATAATGGCTTTCACTTTGTCATGCATTTAATCTTAGATTTCAAAGAAAAGTATATTTTTTTTTTTTGATCATATGCCTATGTCTACCTGAGTACAAATATGCTCCATCAGAGGAGAATGAAAGCAATTTCACTTCAGCGGGATGCCAATGCCATGTAGAGGATAATTCAGCATCATCATCTCCCCTAACACCAGGCCTTTCTTCATCATCTTCTGACATATACTTACTGAACTTGTGTCCAGTATCTGAGAACTTCCTCCTCCCGAAACCTTTCCACAACAAAATTCTGCCAGTCACATCTCCTCCAGCAACTAGTCTCTCACTTGGATGGAAAGCAAGGGTACTCAAACTTTTCGTGTGATGCAATTTGATCTTTTTGATTTCATTATAACTAAAATCTTTGACAGGGACCTTCCATATGTGAAGTTTCCGCTTGTTTTTAATACCAATATATTCTCCAGATTTACTTACAGTCATGACCTCTGGTTTTCGAGTCTAAACACAAAAGGAAGAGAGAAAAAGTTAGCCAAATGTTTTGGTGAATGAATGCTAATCAAATGGAAAACCAAAATTACCAAGATGCAATTAAAGAAGAAGAAAACATAAAACACTAAAACACGCTAAATTATTGAAAATTTGATAGAAAATCAACTGTTTACTATGTTAAGTACAAAAATTGCTGAATAAGGATAAGCTAAATTTCACTGTCGAGTGCACAACCATCAATCTGAGCAACAATCACCCATAGAGGAGAAAACATTAATTTGGTGCTTCTATACTAACAGAAAACCATTTGATAATTGCCAGGATAACCCTAACCAATCTAGCAATGGATAGAAGATAATCGCTTGATAATTAACAAATGTACCAGAAAGATGATGGACAGGTCAAGGATGCCCTGCCTTCACTAGGGGCCGGTTTTCTCTATGAAAATCCCAGTAAGGTCATGAAGAAAAAGTGATCTCAGTATGTGGCAAAAGCAGTTAACTAGGTACTACACTGTGTTTTCAGTTCCAGCCTCAGACACCAAGAATGAAAAAACTACTGCTCCAGTTTGTCTTACCTATATTGAACGTAATATATGTGAACAACCGCAATCAGTTATTTAATCCCACACTCTCTAGATGATACTAATGACACTCTTTTGTATTCTCACTTCCAATCGACATTCAGTGCACTTTTTTGATTCTCATTTTCACATCTAAAAAGATCGTCTTTTCACATCTCTTTTCTGACTCAAGCAGCATGTTGCAAAATAAAGGTTAAGATTACCAGCAAGGTTTGAAATGAAGAAACTGGTTTCACAGTTCAATCCTATGAGAAATAAATGGACAGAATTTGGAGATAATCATAGCGTTCAAACCCAGACCTGCAAAATCAAAAACTTCAAGACCTAAGCAGGTGACGGTATAAATGTTCTTCAGCTCTCGTGTCTAATGCATCGTAATTCAGAAAGAGAAAACTCCTATAAGTTTTTTTATTAAAAGATGAGAGGCGTTCAAATTAATTGGCAAATCAAATTTCATAATGAGGGTTGATAATAACAATTATTTCATCGTCTGCCATAAGGAGAGTGGATTATTATTAATAATAGAACAAAGTTTATCTAAAAGTCTATACAAAGATATAAAACATGTCTAGGAAGCAATGAATGAACTCAATCAAGAATTATTTTTTTTCTGATCTTGATCGCAGTGATATAACTATCATAATCCTGTTATCCTTGCATGTTAGTTGATGCATATTTCGTCACATTCGTTTAGTGTATTTTTCAACATTAAAGCACATCCATCTTATGGTTGTCACAGCGAAAGCAACATTCATTGATTAGGACGAAAGCTGCAACATCAAAACTATGAGGATGTAAACAGCAGTCAGAATGCCACCGGAAAGCCTATCCTCCATGAGAAACAGCACAACTAATAAAAAGCGGATCAGCTGAAGAACATGATCCCGGAATGATAGCATCAGATACAAATCTACACGAGCTTTAATGAAAGCCCGAATAATGGACGATCAATAAGCACAAGCCATGAAGGATCAAGAAGAAAGATTGCCCATAATTTCCTCATCTCCCAAAAGGTAACCAATTAAATTTCCCATCTGTCAATTGTGCAGCATTACCTATTCTGAAGGATATCCTTACTAAAAAGTACTGTCACAAAGTCACAAAATAAAAATTACTCAAAAAAGGAGAAAAAGGTAAAGGGCTCAAGAGTTTTTTACGGTATATTATTCAAAATTTGTCACTTCTGTTTGGTCTCAGCATATCAATTACTCCTCACCAAGAAAGAGACTTCACATTTTTTATATGGACCAATGAAGTGAATCCAGAAATTATTTTCACACCAGAGAACCCTACATCACTGATTCAAACTCAAGAACTACGTAGAAGACGGGCAGCTTCCTGCCTTGGAATGCATCATTGTCTAGGTTCTTAAAGTAAAGCCCAGTTCTGAAATAAGATGGGTTAACAAAGCAGATTATGAGCTCAAGGACAAGTTTTCATCAATGATAAGGAGAACAAGGGATAGCAAGGCATTCCAATGGACTAGTCCAGACCATTCGAAAAGCTTAACCTTATAAATCAAAATTTACGAGATGAGTTCAAACGAATCACAGGAAAATTTAAATGCCGTCAGAATTCAACACTAAAAGAAAAATCTAACAAGAAAGGCAAGAATAAGTTCAGACGGAATTCAGAGTTTATCAATTCCAAAAACACTTTCCGCCCAGAAATACAAATATAATGCATTTTAATCAATAAATAAATTTTTCGTGCATAGGTATTCACTTTATAAGTGAAGTGACTGGGTCTTTCAATTATCAAAGCTATATCATAAAAAGAATACCCAAAAAAGACTCCAACTTCTGTTTTCGTTCAAGTTATCTCAGAGTTACTATGAATACGAAAGGATTCTATATAGACTAAGTAAGCAGTTATATCAGAGGAATCCGACAATTTTCTTTCTCTATAGTGTCCTCGGACAGCTCTACTTTTCAATGTATGAATTTGCAAGTCAGAAAATTGAGATATTTTCTTGACAACATTGCATATTCACCGTACACAATTCACATCGATAGAATTTCTATTCGTCAGTAATGTGACGCCTTGTTATTCTGGATGTCTTCACCACTGTGAAGCACATATGCATAAAATACAAAGGATATTCGGCTGCTATTCATCAAAATCCAGTTATTTCGAACCATTAGAACGCAAAATTTTTGAATATCTAATAAGAGTAGAGATATTGGATTAAAGTTCAGAAACTGAGAGTTTTCTTAACTTCAAGATCGGGTTACGGACTGAATATCAATGATGAATACTATAGAGAAAGCATAATAACTTTACCTCAGCCAATAACCCTCCAACAAACTTAGACTTAGACAAGTTGTACATCTTAATCTGCCCACACAATGCTTTCTTGTGATTATTTGGCTTACTAATATCTTCAACTGAGATGAATGCGCAATGATCGGATGGTTTCTCTGTAGTATCATCTCCGGAACGTGATAAACTTGGAATTACCTGAGATAATTAAACCCGTAGCTGAAAATAAAATAAAATAAAACTCTAGACACTAACAGCTGCATGAAAACACGGGAGCGGGGTAAAAATTTCGTACGGAATAAAATTCAACTACTCATGTGCTTGTCAAATGAAGAAAAGGAAACGAGGAGAGTAATAAGAGGATGGAAATGCCGTACGCACCATGCAGTATATTGGGAGCCTGACCTCCACCCGCCGGATCAATTCCGGCAAGGAAAAGTCCCAATAACATATTGTACCGTCCAACGACGAGGTCCAGCAGAATGACGAGAATCTCATTGCCGGATGGCCCATTGGCACCATAACCACCGACGTCACAAGCGCAGTGTGCCCTTCCAACTCCGTCACCTGTACTAAGGACAATCCCGACAAGAAAGAAGAAAAAAGATGAAGTAATGTTAGCAGACTGACGCAAGCAGAAAAGTCCATCCATCTTTCTTCCGCCTCTTGATGCACTAGGATACAGTGAGAGAGAGAGAGAGAGAGAGAGAGAGAGAGAGAGAGAGAGAGAGAGAGAGAGAGAGAGAGAGAGAGAGAGAGAGAGAGAGAGAGAGAGAGAGAGGAGGAAGAGAGCACCAGCATGCCGGTGGAGGCACTGTAGACAGAGACGGTGTTGCCGGTGCAGACAAGCAGCTTCCCCCCGTCTTCGGAGAAGACTGGCGGGGAGGAGACGAGTTTGCGCCCCCCTGTGGCCATGGCGGCGGCGTCCAAGCCATCGTCTTCCATGCTGTTTGTACAATCGAAAAGAAATAGAACCGAGAGGAAGCTAAGCGCAGAGGCTACAGCTCCCGCTGCGCTCGTCGGTGCCGGGAGAAGTGTGGAAGGGGGAGGAGGGTTTTAGGGAATGAAGAGGACACATGACGAAAGGGTTTTCGGGGGGGATGAAGGAGGACGAGACGAGTAACGCCAAATAAAATCTGGACCGTTGGATTTACGTTATTAGTCTTTCAATTTAACCCTATACATGTTTTGTAAATATAAAAAAGCATCATATTTCTAGAATTTGCAAACATGCCTGAAAGAAGATATCAAATAAAATTGCTTTTACCATAGAAAAAGCATTGCCCATATATTATCTCAACTGACGTATTTGCCCATCAAATGTGAACTACGAGGAACCGATGTTTTCATCTTCCAAGGGTTATTCTGTCCTTTTCAGGCATTATGCTTATTTTTTTACTTTTTTATCACAAGGTCAACTCGTGAGTCATTTGTAAAAAAAATCATGTTGGCGGAGGGTGATTCTTAATATAATTTAAGGGGATTAAAGTGTAAAAAGTATATGACTTTACACACGTGTAAATATTATTAAAATTTGATGATATATCCTATTTATTGACATAATCGAATAATAGGCGAGGAAAAACAATAAAAAAATAGTTTATGGGCAGAGGATGAAATATTTCGAGCAAAATCTAGTTAGGAATGCCCAAAAATGCCCAAGCTAAGAATGAGTAATACAATTGATTAAATCATATTTATTTCCAAACATAGGTTGCTTTGATGCAAAAGGGATAATAGAGCCACGATTTATTTTCTTATTTCCATCATTTTCATAAATATGGTAATTATGAATAAATAGATACAATCAAACCGCTGACTCCGCTGGAAGAGAAAGCCTAGGAATGGCATCATCTGCCTAGAGATGTGTAAGGAGTTGGCAGCTCTCCTTGACCGCCGAAGGAGAAGAGCCCAATGAAAACGGCCGTTGCCATGAAGAAAAAACCAGAGAAATACAAAAATTGAGCCGATACAGCCAGCCCAGAGATTTCCTGCAATAGAAGATATTTTTTTTTTAGGAAAATGATACTTTCTTCTTCTTCTTCTTCCGAAATGACTAAAAATGGCAAGAAATCTGTGCCCAGAAGGAGGCGTTCCTAGGAGTAACAGAGAGTGAAAAGAAAGTCTGTGCTTACGATGGCAGCCTGAAGCAGAGTCTCGAGCAGGAGGCCGAGGACATTGCTGAGAGAGAAGAGGAGGATGTACTGCCCATTACACAGAAGCTTGCAGCATCGAACGCTCACGAGGCAAGCGAGAGCCTGGTAGATTCCGGAAATGGCAATATAGAAGAGATATGCTGCCCAGATCTTGGCAGAAGTCGCCATGCACACGCAGAATATGCTCATTGATGCAGACCCGAGAACATATATGAGCACGCTGACGCTGCCTTTGGTGGCAATCTTGTCGAGGTAAAGCGCACTAAACGATCCAAGGCTTCCGACTGCCTGTGAAGCTGCAAAGATGTGTCCATTTAACTTGGAATCCGGATTGATTGCGTCAAAGAGATTTGCGCCATAGTTTTGAACCAAGCAGAAACCGGCATAGGCGAACGCAGACCTGCATGAGATGGATTTGGTAAAAGAATGAAAAAGTAAACCCATATGTTTCTGGTTCAAAGAACTGAAATATATGCCTCAGCCAGTGCTTATGAAAATCTGGCCCTCTAGTCCTAGGGTTAGGTTTAGTATTGGGGTCGGATTCTTGTGTGCTCTTGAAAGAAAAGCTTCGAGCTGATTACATGAAAGATAAGTTTGCTGACATTATATGAGAAGAGAATGAATATAGGCTAACCAAAGAGAGAGAATCTTCAAAGTTCGTCCACGCCATGTTTCCTTCAGCATCCTTATCCACCCCTGTCAATGCAATCAATGTGATATCAATCTCCATGATTTATCTGCAGATAACTGATAAGCCATGTTGTAAAGCCAAAAAAAAAAAGGGGGGGGGGGTCCGAAATTAGTCTAGGCTTCCTTTTAGAGAGAGAAAATTGCTCAAGATCTAGACATTTTTGCGTTGCAATAAAGTCTTGGTGAAGATGATCAAATGTCTTCCGGGTTGTTTGTGATCAGGAGAAGCAAAAAAATACAGCTGAAATGGTCTCTGCCAATTGATGATGAGGAAGAACAGAGCTCATTTTGAACAAAAAAGTAATGCCCTTCATGTGACGCATCTTGTTATCAGATAAGATGAGATAACTGGATCATCTGACTCGGATCAAGTTTATGAATGGTAGATTAGGAGTCAGCCTGATATCATCTGTTTCTAATTCACGAGTATTGACTGATACAACCAACCATTATGCAACTCAGCATGGTGGTACCCTCCCGGTCTGATCTCTATATGCTAAAGGACAATTCGCCAATCCGCATGGAGATGGAAAATCATGAAGAATGAAACCTGCGATAGATTGTCAAAGAAGTTCGCCATCTGGTACGATTAAGTCCTCTCTGTCATGGAAAATTTAGTCTTATTTAACTCCACACTGCTGCATCCTCATATTTAAGAGGATGTATCATCTCATTTAACTGTCACTCCACATAGTGAACTCAACGATGCTATTAAAGTATGAAAAACGAGATAATGTACAAAAGATATTTACTGATGTCGTGTACAATCTCTCATTAGCAGTCTTCAAGTACAATTATTTTGATGGTTTATAACTCTAATTCATCTTAGCAATAGACACACGATGTCACCCTATTCACAAGTAATGTATCCTTATTTTGTTATCTGTATCACTCTTCTTCTAGTAAGTTTTTTCCTAATAGCTCCATAGCAAAAGCCTTATATCAAATAGCAATTTCTACGTATCCATTTCCCTTGGTTATTTCTGTTCCCAAATTTCTTTTTGGCCCTCTTTAAGACTGACTTAACGAGATGAGCGTCACCCTTTTTTTTATTTGAATAGAACATGTTGAACAAAATCTTCTTCATGTAAAACCTGCTCGATTAGATTGGAAAAATCGTATCCGCACGGCTCCTCAGTAGAGGTTGGCTCGAATTACTCCTGCTCTTGAGTTACGTTCTCTCCTACTAAATGTGTTTTCCAGAACATCCAAACGGTGAGAATTGGTGGAAGTCAAGATTCAGTATAGTTATATTATCATGATGTTTTAACCTGCTCCTATCAAAGCTGCACTTTATTCCGCCATTTCTCTTCTCCAATTGCATCTCTAGTGATGCTATTTGTCTACTTTTCTCTGCAGAACCCTCAAATGAAGATCTAACCTTTTGCCTTTTGTCCATTTGAATATACAAGGATCATGTCATACATAATGTGTCCTTTACATTCAGAATGCACCAGAATTTGTTTATAGTGAATTCACTAATTATTGAACTCCTTTTAGGATCATTGGTCAAACATCATACGACCATAGCATCCAACATCAAGGTATAATAAGTGGAAAGTTATCCTCCTTTGGAAACAGCTAGTTTGGTCCAGTAGCTAGTTCCCAAGCATTTCTAATAAATGTTGTATTGAGGTCATGGTACCCATCGATCATATGTTTTCCACAGTTTTAGAGGGGAAATTCCATATTAGTTCTGCTATACTCAATCAACCATGTTTCCTTCGATCAGATCATTCGAGATGTGTGTGCTTCATTTTTTGCTTAGCCCTGAGCAAGGTGAAAGTGTTGATGCGACCTTTAGAACCACACTTTATTCTCCTCATGTCATAGTGATCTTACAATTATCCTTCTAATTCTCCCACTACCTCTTCCTATCTAGCCTTTAAGTAGTGCTTCCTTGTCTTTCCTTTGCAAGTATATCATCAACAGTCACACTCATATGTTGCATTATACACCTCAATCTTTTTATATCAATATAGGGGAAGATTATCCTCTTTGCCATCCATTGATCTCGTTAGAGCAGAGTTGTGTTGATCCATTGGGTCCGTTTTAAATTAGGCCAAGTAGGCCCATTCTCTTGTCCTCCTTTGCTTCCTATCTTCCTCATCCCTGTCCTCTTAGTTGGCTACGGTATGGGGATTGCATTGTATGGTTCTTCTGAACTTTTCTCTTGAGACATCCAAAACTGCCTATTGCTCTCTGAAAAGGTTACTTGTCTCATACTGATCATCCCATCTGTAATTACATCTAAGTTGCTAATAATGACCACATTCACAGTCAACTTGCTTTAGTGTTGTCATCAATTTTTATACATAAGAGGTAGAGCATATAGCCTGAAGGTACATGGTAGTCAACTGGTTTCTCCTCGTTCATTGGATATTCAAGCATGAGATCTTCGCCTAAAAATATCTACCATAAAATAATAAATCATATAGATCAGACAGGCTCACCAAGTAACTACGAGATTCAATGAAACAAATGGACAATGTTTTTCTCTTTTGACTGGTTCTGATCATCATGAGGAGGCATCAACAAGGGTGTGTCATATTAATTATAAATGGAATATCAATAATTGATTTAAGACAAAAATGCAGATAAGGTGCTGTATTTGAGAAATGGGACTATCCACATGAAACACCAAAATTTGTAATGAAAAGGCTACAACAGAAGATATTATTATGCATTATCAAAGAGGTTTTATGGAATTAAAGTACTAATATGATATGAATCTCTTCCAAAATATATTCTCATATGAAATATATCCAGCAAATGAGACACAGATGAAAAAGAATTGAGAACAACACCTCATTTTCCCCGAAATAAGTTGTCATAGACATGGAACTCAATGCTTGATCCTTTGGCAAAAGAAGAGAAGATGTCGAACATATTCCCAACTGATTCAATTAAAAAACGTAATGAATATAATCACTTGGTCTGAAAGCGGAAAACGAATACTTTGTGAAACAACAGGAATACCCAAAGAGACCAAAATACTTACAAAGGTAAGACTTATGACAAAAAATATGCGGTAAGATGCTTCTATGAGCGCCAGAAATTGTCCTGTGATGAAAATAACCAAAATTTTATCATGTTAACTCCAACCCAGTAGAAAACCAGGACAATATTTATTCAGCTCCATTATTAAACTAGGTATACTCAACCATGATCCCTTGTAATCAATGAAAGCCTAAACACTGATGCAAACTATACAAGGAGAAATCCATCGGAAAAAATCTATTCTACTACTCAAATCATAGAAACTAACAATTACCCTGGCCAAAGAAAAAGGAAATTATCTAGGTTAAGGAAACAAAAAAACTAGGAAACTGATCAACAGAATCTAACTCCTAATCACACGTTTTTCCCACACGCTTCACTGCCACTATCACTTGGATGATTGTGTCTCTTTTGCAAGCGGGATGAGATTCCCACTGCTTTCATGGGTGATTCCAAATGCTCTCTAATCCCAATAGTATAGCATGTTCAAAGCTGCACAGGTTCCATGCTTGATGATATTTTCTTCCAATTTCTAGTAAATGACGGCCATAATCCTTTTACGTTTTTCACCCAAAACATAATAATTATTTGCACGTCTCCAATATAACTGGGAGAATCCATCATTCCCCACCATGTAACTGAGAGATTTGAGAAAGTAGCTCCAATGACACAACATTTGGCAGGCACAAGATGCGATTTAGTAGAGTTCTCCGGTACACTTCATTGTTTCCCTTTATTGTATATTGTTATTCTATGATCACTCACATATTTATTTGGTCACTGAAAGCATTTTAGGTTTCAATTTGTACCTAATTTATGAACCTCCTATTCTTGCGTACATTATTGCGTGCATTATCATTAAAATACAACGAAATAGGATTAAGAAGGGTTCACGACTTTTTGTAGTCAACATTAATTATTTAATCGGATGAATGAATCAAGTCCCTAAGCGGAGATAGTACAGGTTACAACAGTAAACTTACAATAAAATATTGTTTGAAGCATATTTTATTGTGATAAGATGACGAGAAAAGGTACAGATCTATACCCAACTCCGAAGCTATCATGAAGGACAAAAGTGAAGTTGCAGTGGTTAAACTAGTCTGCAAAAAGAAAATAGAAACGCAAGGGATGCGCGTATTATTTACGAATCAGAATAATTACCCAAAGGGATAAGAGAATAAATCTGGTAACACAATAAATCATTCACAAATGGATTCTTCCTAGATAAATGGGATATGAAAATTAATACAAGTACACAAACCGGAGGAAAATGCACAGAGAGGCTAGATAATATTTCATGCGGATAGGAATCCGTTGAATACGAACATTCAAGAGAAGCCTCTGAAAATCTTGCCAAATGAAAAACACTTTGCATCAAATTAGCAAAACCAAAGGAACTTTTCTAGGTGTACCCTGTAACCATGTATAGTATCAGGTGATGAGTCGAAAATTTCTATATGCATAACCATCATAATTCATCCGCTGCATGTCATTGTTTACTTGGGGACCAAATCATACTTTCCATTTGATTGTTACACAAGATCAGCAAAAGATCCCCAATTTAAATACTCATAGTATTTATTTTCACAGCCAGCATTCCTCACGTCTTACCACACGATGACAAAATTCGAAGGGAAAACATAAATAATTATTTAAAAGCCGAAAACATGTGATGATGGATTTGGAAAAGACAAAAGAAAATAGAAACGGGATAGAATGAATGAAACAGAGTAATAGTCTTTAATGAGACTCGCATGAGTTTTCCCATGATCAATTAACATGGAGATGTATGTAATTGCATTGGAATGATGAAAATTTGGCATACCATTGTTTGATATTCTTCTTCTGCAACAAGGTGAAATATATACGAGGAGAACACCAAGCGTGTTGACATTCCAAAACCATAGATGACCTAGAAAGAACACAGGGCAGAATAAATGCTAGAAACAGAGCAGCGACCTCCGGGGTTATGCAGAAAAAAGAAACCCCACAGCTTCTATGGGGTGTGTAGAAAATAATTATCATTCGTCCTATGAAAGTTTAAAGGATTAATTATCAATGAAAACAATAGCAACATAAGACTAAATACAAGCAAGATGATCATAGATCAATAATAACAAGAAAAAAACATCTGATAATTTTTATAAGCTTCATAGGTATTCTACAACTATAATCTTCTCCCAATGTAAACTTGTATCTGGGCAAGATCTCCCTCAGCAATAGTTGCTTTAATTTGAATTCTTAGGTACTGCCCACTTTCGCACATAATTCAATTGTTCTTTAGATCTCTCATAATACTTGTACCGAATATTCATTCCATTTCGGTGGGGCCTGTTACTTGAGATTAGTTGTGGCTGCCACATCTCACCTCTTTTCATTTCCAAAGTTAAATTCTGAGGCCTTTGTACAAGGCATATCAAAGCATCCACATCTCACCAAACATTATTAAGCCTAAGAATACTTTTCTTCTGCCCGAAGCTCAGCTCTGTATGCAATAGGTACAGGTCCCAATAGGATGAAGAATGGACAGGTCTGATCAGGACCAGTACTGGCTCAGTACTAGTACATCTTGGCGGAGACAGGCTTTAGCCTCAGAACAGAGTACTAATCAACCCGATGTTGGCGAGCTTCCACCTTTCATGCCCATCCCAGCCTTTTCCCAAGCCCAAAGCTTATATGAAAGTATATTCAATTTATATCTAAAATACTGTTACATCTTTTTTGGAATTTCAAGTTTTGGCCGGACCAAGGCCTACACTTAATATTATACAGGTCACAAAAATACTGGATGTAAAATTATTTTAGGTACAAGTGTAAACAATGAGGAATAAATTATTTTTTTGCCAGATCAAGACAGAGTACATTTTATTCTTGACAAGCAAGAGATTACACCTTTCAGGATTGTCCTTGATATCCATACCATTAAAATAGCTCCAATTGCTTTTACTGGTAGAAGCAGCACTTTCCAAAATCTTCCAAGCTTAACTTCATCAAGTGGACATTTTTAGTATCTTCAATACTTTTAATTCCCTAACTACAAAGGCCACATCGACGGCAACAATGACAAAAGAAATACCAATTCCAGGTCCATAAATATGTTCAAGGACCAAGAAAACGTCATAAAGAGACCAGAAGTGATCAAGTATACTAAAAAGGAAACTTCTTAATTAAACAAGAGCTATTATGGTTGACATTTTATTATACTTTTACCATAAATATGCTTGACAAGAAACCCCAAACCCCTTTTCCCAGCTCATATGCTATGCACACATCAACCTGATGGACAAAAGCCCAATTGCTTTTGCAAACACAAGAGATTACCAGAATGAAAATTATGTAAAGGAGCAGAAAGCATGCCAACTGTGAAATAGTTACCTGCATAATTTTCATGGAAAACAGGGATTTTCCTGCCCAAGCAATGATATAAGTTGCAACCATTCCCAATGTCCCTGTGAACGAGACATCAAAACAGTTTATATTTAAAAAGAAACTCAAAAACATGCATGAGGGTTATTAAAATTGATGCTGTGTTGTTCTAATGCTGACAATGGAAACCGACACCAAAACGTGGGAAAAAACTTGCATAGCCCGAGGAAGATTCTGAAGACAGGAGTACATTTTGACAAAACAGGACATGAATATTCATTACCTGATCCATTATATGCAATCAAGTGAGTGGAGACCATGAATTTCCAGAGCCAATAAGTTTTAGTCGTAGGTCATATAGTGCATACTTTTATACTGACCAGATGATGCACAAACACTAAAGAGGAAACCTTCTTCTAAATAATAATATGATATCTTGATGGAGATGACATGGGAAATCGATTCGCTCAATGAGTGTAAAATGCCCTTTCTCCAGAGTTAATCCAGTACATCGTATAAAAAAAAATGTACTTATCCTACAATGTGGAGGTGCACTCCGAATGGCGAACAATGATCTGATTTGAGGGAGAAAGGATTTTAGAGCATTAAAGCTGCCTTTCACTCTAATATTCCATTATGAAGACATGATTTTTATTGATGACTTGCAACTGTTCAACAAGCGGAATCAGAATGCCAGACTGAGTTAAGTACCGTCTAGATGGGTGGAATTGGCCTGGTATGGAAGCATAACTACACAATTTTCTCTGGGAGCAGCTTAAAAAATCACGGTGGAACAAAATATGAATCTGAGGTTTCCAATATTTTCACAGAATGAACTGTCAGGTTTCCAATATTGAATCTGAGGAATTCTTCCTTGACCCAAATGCGCATTAAGGCTTTAGAAATGAACATGCCTCTAATCTGAAATTTCCAGACACAGTATCACTAGATGTCAAAATCCTCTCCTTTCAATTTCGGAGACCTACCTTAGATTAGAATCGGTTCGTTACAAATCAACTTTCATGCAGCACAGAAGATGATGCCATGGTACATGGGAACAGTTCCGTTGCCCTCTGTTTCCAGGACTTGGTTTTGTTTCCTGAATCAAATTAAGCATGGTTATCCAGGATTATTTTCTCTTGACACCTCATCTTGGAAGATTCTTGTGATGAGAAACGTGCATTTCAGGAGGTTTTCTTCTACCTGACTTGAACCAACAACAGTCAGATATATTGATTATCCAAAAAGACTACCATATTTCTTCAATCTACAGGAGCTTCAATGGTAAACGCTTTTTTCTTATATAACACGGCAATTAAATGAGCCTCAGGTCCTACTCAAAAATATAAATTCACTGGCCGGGATCTGCTCTGACATTTAAAGCTAATGGTAATCAAGTACGCTGGAGCACCGCCCTAAATGTATTGAGACAGATAGCTGCCACATCACTTCGTTCCCATAGAGAAGTAAAACAAGATAGCATCCATCAATAATTTAGCTCACGTTTCGTGCTACATCTGAATCAGGCAGACAATGAAAGAAGAAGAGATGAACCAATTTTCAATGAAAAATTAATAAATAAATTAACTACTAAAATGGGGTAACCGCATTAAAATGGTGGCACGAAAATATTCGATTTTTTAACCAGGGGAAGGGAAGAAATTTGGCAGCCTCAGACACTGTAGAACTGTTATCTTACTTTCTTCGAGAGTAATTTCACATTAAAAAATGATATACAGAGGTATACATTTCTCAGGGAATAAAGTCAATTCATGCTAAATCATGATCAACCTACGTACCCTTTTTGGGTCAATAAATTTATAACTTAGGAAAACAGTCTTTGTTGTCGAAAGGCCAAAAAACCATGGAAATATCAGATTGTAATGCAGCATATCACATAGTATCAGTCAGTACAAGTAGTAAAGCAATTCAAACACCAATAGTGTCTGAATACAGTGTCTAAATACCTTCAGTACCAAACACAGAGTGAAACAGGGAAATGTTCCTGGTTGTCTTAAAAAGAGTACCTAACAAGATGACGACTTTGTGTGACAGATAAAAACAAGCTGGCGCCAAAAGCAATGTGAAAAAAAGTTGTGCATAGATGCTGCACGGATATATATCAATTGTAACCTGCATTAAAAAAAGACTATCAATGGCATCTTCCCCCTACATCTGAATAAACTGTGATTGAAAACTTTCGTTAAGGTGTTATGACATTTAAATATAATGCAAACCTAAGAGACATCAAAAAGTGACTGTTTGCTTCGTTTCATATGGGTGATATAAAATAAGATGATTTCATCACATGACATGAATTTGAGAAGACCATACTTCACAGACCAGAAAGGAAATTGATATAAGAATACAGGAGCCAATATACAACAGTAAAAATTACACTCTATCAACTACAAGTTGGAATTCGGGCAATCCATCCTGTGGGATGGGTAGAGTGCATTGAAGTAAATTACAGCTGACATTTGTTTTACGTTTTCGACATTGCATATCCACAACGGAGACTCCAATTGCAACATCTTGGAATAGAAAGGAATTTTCTAGGACGTCAACCACTGCCTTCAACATGGATCTTGGAAGTCGTTTCATTGATCTTATTAAAGATCATAAGTGAGTAAAATCTTAATGATATGCTTTTCACGAAGTTCGCAAACTGTAGACTAAATATTTGTGACATAGTGAGCAGACTTCTAAATATCTTTGTCTAATAGGCAATGAAAAAGAAGAAAATTAGGAATTCATTTCATTCTTCGCTATCCTGAGCCAACTTGTCCTGGCAAAAGACTCTGTGAAGGACGGAGTTTCGAAAACGAATCTCATCTTCCATTGATCATATTATATAGAAGTTTAGCAACCATTACACAATAAGTGATAAATATATACAAATGGCCTGATGTATAACGGGAACAAATAGTGAATCTTCCTACTTTAACAGGGCTGACCAGTGCTGCCACATCCGCTCAAGTTATGTGCATTCTCTATTAGTTGCTATACATAATACGAAGAACTTGCAGGTTAAGAATCAAGCATTCACCGCCTGAATCATAAGCATCAAAAGGTCACACCACTTATTTTGGTCCCCAAAACTACTCAACAGCCTGGTGTCTGCTTCTGAAATACAGTTCCCCGTGGCACAGAGACACTGACATGTTACGTTTCCAGAAGCAATAAACGACTTCATACTTGAAAACGTCTGCTTTCCCTGTGGGTTCGGCTCCATGTAAACAAGTTTAACTGGTCTAGGATGAAATATGTGAAATGGATCATGGGCTCTCTGGCCTCTTTGCGGCCGTTCCGGTACGGGGGGATGGTCTTAGAGAAGTTAACAATGGTATAAGCAGGACTAACGGAGGCTATAACTTTGAAAAACGTTCCGGTACTGCTTTCAGACGGTTTAGAAGAGAAATCAAAACCAGATACCGGAAATTCCAGCTATTATCCCAGATACAACACAGAAAATGGACCTGGAAATTACTGAAGTGCTTGACGGAGATGAGGTACGGCACGAGGTAGGGCTCTATGGGAAGAAACTGCGAGGAGAATGAAAAGAGAAGCAACACGGCCAGCAGTTTCTTCGACCGATGCGAACCACCATCGCGGTCACGACCAACGAACGGCAGCAGAAACATAAGCCCACTCTTCCAACCCTCCTCCATCACAGGGGGCCTCCGCAGACACCCCAGGCGGGGGGGCTGCACCAGCAGAGCCCCCCGCTTCCTCCACCCTGCGCCGGTAATCTCCTCCTCTTCCGTATCCGGCGGTGATCTTCGTCGGAATTCGTTGGCCGATGGTCGACCGATGTACCCATGTGTGTGTGTGAGAGAGAGAGAGACAGAGTAGCAAATACATATTACCGGGAAGTAATATGCATAAATTTATATAGTAATGATAAATCTAAGAATCATACTTTTATAATTAATTAATGTTAGGTGGAAAGTATAAAATTATCTGATAAAGGAAAATTAAATATCAATTTATATGGATTTTTCAATGAGATCATTTAAAATTTATGCGGGAAACTAGTCTTAATATTTATTTAAATAAATACAATTACTATCACATCACGATAATGGCTCATTGATAAACATGATTGAAGGTATTTCAGGGGTAGGAAGAAAATGCGTAATATGCCTGAAAATGGGAACAATAAGCCGAGTAGGGTATTGGGCCTGGGCAGGCGGGCTTCCAGGGGGCGCCCAGCCCGTTAACTACATACAATTCAGAGCGATTGTGAATCAATCCCTCGTTACTCTTTTTGGTGCGCTCCCCCTCCCCCTTCTTCCGGCGCTCGCCTCTCTCGCTCTCTCAGTCCCGCCGCTGCTGGCGTAGGGGGAAGAAAAGATCGGCACCGGCGAGGGTGCGGGCTCTTCCGACGGCTGTCACCTGGAAGAGGTTTCCATTTCTCCCCGTGTTCTTCGGGCCTGTGCCGCGTTGCTTCGCTGCCACTCCCGGGATCGAACATGCTAGGGTTTTCTGTTTCTATTCCGAAGTTTTCCGTCTACATCCGTCCTAGGGGTTCTTTGATTTTAACCGATGCTTCGTCATGGAGCGCAGATGCCGCCGGCCGCGTGCACAGCATCATGCACATGGTCGTTCAAGCATGGAGTCAATTCTTTCCCCATCCACCTCTGCCGTATCATGATGGATCGGGGTCTCTTTCTGCGTTTAGTTAATAAAATTCACTCTTACTATAGAAATTTGGTTTGCTCTTTTTTTTCTTGGTTGTTTGGGAATCCTATATTTTCATGTGTTGTGTTTTCTGGTCTGGAATACTGTCTCAGGTCTGAAAGAATTTTTCTGGGAATATTATCTTCGTCATCTATTTTGGCCTTGGCACCCCGCATAGTAGGCCTTATGTTTTTGTTCATGGGAGTCGATTATTGTTTTCTGTTTGATAGTGTTCAGATCGGTTAATGTTTCAGAAGTTGATCAGCAGAGGGGGAAAAAGTGTAAAGAAGAGACTTTTTCTCTCATTTAATTCACATTCATGAAAGCTCCGATTTCGTTTCTATGCTGATTTAGGTCCCAACTTTGGTTCCAAAAAGGGGTCACAACAGTGTGATTTAGATGCTATCTGTAGATTTTTTTGAATGGCGTAAGAAAGCCTCGTTCTGCCATTTGTAGAGATTTTTCTTTCTAGTTTTTGGTGCTGCCTGGAGTTTTCCTTTAGAATTCAAAAAATGGCTGTTTTCTAGTATTTCACTTGAAATTTTAATAAGCATTTCAACAATTACAACTCGAAAATTTCTTTTAAATCTAGTTACTAAAAAGAAAATATCGAAAGAATCATTACTTTTAGGAAAGGTTTAAAAACGTTGCTGAGGCTATCTGATTCTCGTTCATATTCTATGCTTATTGTCGAATTTGCAACTGCAGTACAAAAGAGTGGCCTCTAAGGGGGAAGTGGGGATGAAGCGACGCCACTTCAGCCCTGTCTCCCCCACTGTCGCAGCGGCTGCTGCTGCCAAGAAGAATGCGTTGTTTCCATGCTCGGAGGAGAGAAAGGTGCACTGTCGTCCCATGGTTCGTGGTTTCGATTCGTTCATGTTGTTATCTTGAAATAATGGCAAACATCAGCGAATTGCATCTAGTCAATACGATTTTTATCCTTGTGAAATGTGTGTTGAAAGGTTGTTGGTAAACTTGTGTGCAATGACTACCTAGTTTGAGATATGCAAGCAGTTTTCTTAACAGATATCTTCCCTCAGTTTGCTTTTCTGATCTACATTCTATTTTGTTACGTGCTTTATGTTTTTTTCTATGGTTATGGCTTCCCTCTTGAGTTTCTCAAGTGCATTGTATTTCTTATTATTAATAAAACATTCCTCATGTTTCTGTTGGATTGCCTATGAGTGTCTAATTACTATAAGAATGAGTTCCTAATATTTAATCCAATCGATGGAATACGTCTCTTCTGAAGTTCAACCCCCTCTCCCCCCTCGACCCCGCTCATAAAAAAGTAAATAAAAATAAGTACATAAAATAAAATAAAGAAAGGATGCTTAAGTTAGAAACTGAAGCATCCATGTGGCTCAGTCCCCATTTGCTGCTTAAGTGATAATGTAGTGTGGAGTTCAGTGGACAAATTTTTCTTTAATGGCTACAGGATACTGTAAAAATAAGTGCTTTCAATTGGTGTATATTAATGATACTAAAAATCTAAAAAATTTCATAGATGATCTGAAGAAGGACATGCCTAAGATATGTGCGATTTCATAGTTTAGAATGATAAGAAGCTGGCTCTTTCACGTGCACTGTATAACTTCAGTTTGTTCAAAAAGTTTTGATTTAATGTGTGTGTGCCAGATCTATGATTACCTTAATTTTCAGCTGCAGATTCGTCACAACGTTAAATCTAGGATAAAGGTATAGTTATTATCGAAAATTTGGTGCTATAAGGAGATAATTTTGGAGAAGTGCAATGCGATCAAAATACAATTGTTGACAACGAAAGTTCACCTTTTAATATCCATGACGTTCCTTTTCCTGTTGCCCATTGCGATATGCCATAGTCTGCAACTTTTTATAGTTTTTTTTCAGAAGCTTATGTATTTGGAAGAAATTGCTGCAAAAGCTTTTAACACTGGTTTGGAGTATCAATAGCTGTGTTTGTGTAGCTCTGGTACTCCAGAATATTAGCGTTTGCAACGGTAATGATGTTTGCTGACCGAGAATCTGGAATGATATTATGTCTTTTTTGCCAAAGCATTGCCTTTCTTTTAAGTTATTGGTTTCTATGGAAACACCATGCCTAACATGATATTGACGACAAATAATGTCTGAGTATTTTTTTTAGTGTTCTATCTAGTTGGCTCCTGATAGTGCTGGGATTGATATATCTGCACTGTCTTCCCCACATTTATCTTTTTTTCTTATTTCTCTGCTTTCAGCTTGATACTACTGTGCTTCAGTATCAAAACCAAAAACTCAGTCAGCAGTTGGAAGTTCAGAAATTCGAATATTCTGCTCTTCAGAATAAATTCAACCAACTCAAAGATGACCAAAAGTCTTATGATGACACATTGGCTACTGTAAAAAAGTCATGGGAACAGGTATTTGGTGTCAAACAAATTTATCTTTTAGCTTTCATTTCAGCAGTATCATCGAGGTTTCCCTCTCTCAATTGAACAGCTTGTTGATGAGTTGGGATCTGTGTCAAGTAGAACAAGAAAAACGTCAAGTGGTTCTCCAGCTTTTGAGGGTAAGTTTCAAGATTTGTCTCTTTCTAAATTCCATAACGCATAATGTGAAAACGGGTTCTCTGTTACTCAATGAGGCGATCAATGATACTTGTCAACCTTCAATTTTGAAGCATTGTATGCCATTTATGTTTTAATCTTTGTGGTGTAGTCTGTCTGTCTAATGCGCATGTTATATCTTCTAATACAATATTTAGACAAGAATAAATAAATGATCTTACTGATTCACTGTCTGACTGATTGTGGAGCTAGAAAATTTTCTCTAGCCATATTTTAAGTAGAAGATGAACATTCCTTCAGCATATATATTTGAAGTTTTTGTCCCATATTCCTTCAGTTTAATTGGTTGAAACCATTCTGACGTGCTGACCCTGCTAAACATTTCGCCATCACTTTAGTTTTGACTTAAGAGGTCATTGCGCTTGCAAGAATATCAGACTTTCTTCTTTAGCCATACAATGTAAATCGCATGTTTGGAAAGCCGCTGTTGTCTACAGTCTCAAGGATTGTTTGGCGCTCCTAACTTCTGGAATGGGAGTGATAATGATACATAGCAGATATTTCTTTTTTCTGTTGATGTCTGGCTGGAGAATGTTTAGTTTTTCATGGAACGAGAGGACTCAAGCTTGTTTCAGTCAGTTCTGGGGATAGTTTGGTAATGGGTTAGGACTGACTAATTTTAACCTCCTGTTGGTTCCGGATTCTAATTTATCCAACTTTCAGTTTGATAACACGCACACTCTCTCTGTCATAGGTTGAGTTGGGTTAATTTAGTCTTCGATTTGATAACAGCGGGGATTTGTTAAAAAGGCTGGGTTCCTAATATTTGACCCTTTTGGTCAAACAAGTTAAGTGACTTTGTCTGAGTTTATGCCTAACCGGGGCTCATGTGACTCGCTCAGTCATCTGAGCTTATCAAGGTTGGATAGCTGGGCTATCACGGATAAACTCAGATAACCCAGATTATGTCAGTTGTAAACAGTTGTTAAACCACTTCCTGGAGTGCAATGGCGATGTTGTCAAATTATTTTGTTATCAGTTTTCACACAGAGTCTACCTTGGACCAATTTTGTAGGATACCCTCATGATTTAGGTGGACACTTCTGGAGATCACCATTGATGTTCAAATTGCGTGCAAAGCGCTTCAAAGTAGAAAGCCACTCAACTCTCTTTTGGTTCAACACCTTGCCACATAGCATGCTCTTGAGATATGAAACTACGTAAAAGTTAATTATCAGAAATGTCTCTTGTAGTTTTTGACATTTGTTATTGTTTTCTGATCTTCTGACCTTAGGAATTTGGCAGTGACTTACGAATTACTCTTCCATTGCTTCTTTCTTGTGCAACTCTGTGGTGTCTACGATTTGTGTATTTTTGGTAAATGCTATACCGCTTCATACTTGTTAATGTAGACCATGGCTGAATGAATACAGAGTTAGATACGCATATGGCTTGATCTAATAATATTTACAAAAAGCAGATGCTTTTTCCTCACATCTTTGTTTTTTGATTCATAAGATTAACCTTTGCTTTTGGGTTTACAAGCATTGGTGACTGCCGTGTGCAAAGCCCTAGTGTTTGCATGTGCTTCCTTATCATGGTCATCAGCTGTGTTGCTAGAAAAATGAGTTTTCCTTTTTGGTTGGCTAGCATATATTTTATTACTTAATGATTATGGCATGGTGTTATTTAATTCATTTTCATGACCTTATATGTTAAATTTTGTTGTGTTTGGTTTGTTTAGTCTCTGAATCTGATATGGAACTTTTTGCTTAGAACACTGCTAGAATAATGATTATAACTATGAATCTTTTCCCCAAAATTCAGATGAAGTATCTTGCCCTACCAAGGATAATCTTTTGTCCAGACTCCTGGAAACAGGTGCGACTGAAAGTTCTTGCGGAGTTTTGTCTCAGAGCCAGTTAGAGGATTGTGTACAAAAGACACAGGCAGGGACTAGTAAAGTTCTCGAAAATATCATATCAGCTTTAAATAAGTTGTGGAATGTGAATAACCAGCTCACTATTTCACTTCTTGGGAAGCAACAAGATGAGGGTAAGAGTTGGCTTCTGCTAATTATAATATCGCTTTTCAATGCTTCTCTGCCAGTTGTACCAGAAATAAAATTTATTTGTAGTCTTTAATCTTGTTTCTCTACAGATTTCATCCGGGATTTGCACAATACTGTTAATAGTTCACATGTGGAAGTTAAAAACTTGCGACTGACAGCCAGGGATCTTCAGATAAAGCATAGATCATTGTCGAAAGAGATACAGGGCCATCGCGACACAAGTGCAAAGAATAAGGCTCAGAATAGGCGCTTGGCAGGTAGATAATTTGAAGCCTTTTTTTGGTTATCGGTGTTCCTTTGCTGGTGCCATTATATTTTGCCACAATTTTTCAAGCTGTAGTGCTTGCTGCACTCTTAAATTTAAATTATGAATGTAGCTATCCACTTTGATCATCTCCGTCAGGAGAACTTTTATAATTAAACAGCCATTTCTTTTAAATTGAAACTACTCCAATGATGTATGTGAACATGCAAGTTTTACATGTGCTTCTCCCGCTGTAATATCATCATTGCTACAGGAAAGTTGTCTTGTGAGCAGTATCTCTACACTTTCTGAGCTTCTCCCGTTATAATAGAAAATGGAAATATGATTGCATTTTGAGTTGCATTTTTGTTTTCTGAGTTATCGAGATAACATGGTATATTTTCTGGAAGGTTCCACAATGACTACTTAGGCATAAAAGTTATTCCTCAATCATTTTTTTTTGTTAAACAGAAATGCTAATTACCTTTGTTTTTGTGAATATAAAGGAGAATTGGAGAGTACTACCATTGAACTAAAGGAAAGCAATCGTGACCTATCTGTCCTCAAGTCTCAGAGAGAAAGTGGGCATGGAACACCTTTCTTTGCTGCAACTTTAGGAAGTAATTGCACTTCTGGTAACGGTGGTAGAGATAGAGATAAAGAGTTGCATGAGTTGGAGTCAGCTCAGAAACAGATGCTGGTACGAAGTTTGTGTATTGGCATAATGTTGTTAAAATCTTACCCACATCATATGAATCAAATTTATCATCCTACAGGATTTAGCTTCAAGTCGATTACTAGAGATTCAAACTTTACACGGGAAAAGAAAAGAGATGTTCAGCAAGTTGTCGGATATTCAGGTTTTGTAGTTATTATTTTGTTGGATTTTCAATGTTTTTTTTCCCATCGTATTCTATCTTTCTCTGACACTGAATATTTCTGTTTATATTTCTGTGCAAAATACTTGAGAAACAGAACATGCTGGATGTGAAGTATGATTCGTCATCAAAAAGTTTTCAGTTGTTACATGATCAGCTTGGGAAATCAAGAGTAGAATTGGATCAGTGTCGAGATTTGTTGGAAAAGCTACAGGTGGTTGTTTTCCTCAGTTTTATGCAAATATCTCATGCAATGGTTTGTTCTTGTATTACTGACTCTTTTCTTTTGGGTTCCACTATAATAAGGTTGAGAAGGATACTTTTATCTGGCGGGAGAAAGAAGTGAGTTTGAAGGTTGATATAGCTGATATTTCTCGTAGAGCATCTGCAGTGGCTGAATCTCGAATTGCAGAGCTGCAAAAATTACTACTAAAACAAGTGGATGAGAGAGAGCAACTTGGGGTTAGGCTAGAGGAGGCTTCCAGAGAACCAGGTATTTGGGCGAATTTAGTATTTTCTGTGGCTACTTTTTAAAATATTGCAAAATTTCTTCTAAAAGACGTGTTCATGCAATATCAGGAAGGAAAGAAATTATATCTCAGTTTAAGGCTTTAGTTTCATCTCTTCCCAAGGAGATGGAGTTAATGCAGGCTCAACTTGCTAAGCATAAAGAAGATGCTTCGGAAATTCATTCTCTTAGAGCCGAAGTTGGATCGCTCTCTGGTCTTCTGGATAGGAAGGTAAACTCTTGCCCCTAAAGAATCATGCACTTCGTCATCATCTGTTTTATTGGAAGACTAAGGGTAATTTGGTACAGGAAAATGAACTGAAGACCTTAAGTAGAAGATCTGCTGAACAAATTTCTGAAATCCAGAAACTACAAGTCACGGTATGCTCTTTCTTTTCTCCTTGTTGTATGTACATTCTCTCTTTTGTGATGAGTTCGACTAAGTTGAGTTTTTGGCTGAAAAACCGTTCTGGGACGTGCATATTTTCCTTGAAACTAGAGTTGTTCATGTCCTCACACTAGATGTTTTTGTCAATACAAGGATATAATATCTGGCTTCGCATTTACTGTTTCTATTATTCGAATTGATTTGGTGATACCATTCACTACACGTTACTCTGAGAATACCATGCAAAGGTTTTTCTCTTTCTTTTGGAATTCCATAATAGCACTGTCTATGAACCGCTGAATATTCCTACAAATATAGCATTGGGTGTCTTTTTGAGCAGAACACAGGTTTTCCCATGGAATTAGTTAGTTTTTCTTCATCTAGTGGCTTAAGAGAAACTTCTTTGTGCTTGTTATTTGGTGCTACTTAGATGATTTTATTGGCAGGTTCTTTTAGATGGTTCAAATTGTGATTGTTAAAGATGGAGGGATTCCATCTTTTCGATGGTTTCTTAAGGCGAATAATTTGAGGCGCTTTTTTGATGTTTAAAGATTATTGAAATAAATAATAAATACTAATTAATAACATTTATTAAATAATATACGTAATTTGATGCTTGATGACTTATATCAAGAAGTATTCAGTTTTTGCAGAGTGAATGACCATTTGGCAAATGCGCGCTGCCCTTATTAATGTTAGTATTCGTGTGTTTGGCCAATTATGCAGCCATTCTCAAACATCTTGCCTTGGCCATCCATATACCTTTGTTGTCTGGGCTGCCTTGTCAATAGAATGCTACTTTGTAAACAATGGGGTGCATTGTGTTTGAAGTGAACATCTAATGATGGCTGGAAGACGAGGTAATAGCATTTGGAAACCAGATAAATAAGGGAAAACAACTGGAAAAAGAATGTAAGGTGGCAGAAAAATAGCCAACTACATGCTTGGGAGATCTAGATAGTGATAAATCAATGAAGAATACAATATTACTTGAAAATGAGAGACTATATTAAGTTCACTGAGGATACCTTGAAATTAATGTCTCTGGACCAACTTTCTTAGAATTTATGTTCTCTTTCTCCTTGAACTGGGGAATGTGCATTGCCCTGAGAATTGATTGCATATGTACCTCCATAACAGGCCTTTACTGCCATTTCTGCCTGTTACCTGCTAGTATTCACGAACTATGGATGAAAACTATTGTTGTTTTAAGGGTACCTAGATTCTTTGTTTCTTTGAACTGTGCGTCATACATAGTTTGACTTTTTGGTGGAAACTGTTTTGAAAGATATTGTTGTTTTGACAGTGGGTTCTCTTTACAGGTTCAAGATTTGAAGCTTAGTGATCGGGAGTTAAATTCACTGCTGGAGATGTATAAACGCGAGTTTGCTGATTCAAGGTAAGGCCTTCATTTGCCGTTAAGTTTGCAGTATCTCTGTAATTAGTCTTTCTATTTGCTTAACTCTTGATATGGTTATGCCTGACGAAGCCTGGCCATTAACTATGCCAAAAAGCTTCATTTTGTTCAATTGTCATAGAAAATAGTGATTCCTTTTTTGCTTTTATTTTGGTCTATTATTTTATGGTAGGCATAGTTTATTATAATTTTATGTTTATATATAAAATCGTACAGTGATGACATAAAAATAATTCGATCAGGTCTGAGGTTTCTTTTTTGTGTGCTCATGGTTATTCTAATTCTTCTATCCGAGAATTGTAAGAATGACTACTAGAATACAAACATCTAATGTATTATTAGAGATAATAGGTAATTGGCGTTTGATTTTAATTGCGTCTTTGGATGGAGTCTGCTGAAAAATAAAATTGTAGCTTGTTTTCAGAGATTTGAGGTGTTTGCTATACGACCGAATGTATGAGTTTAAATATCTAACCCATTCAAAATAATATTTTACTGTAGTTTACTCTTTTATCATTGTTATTAGCCATTGCTCAACTTTTTTATGTGCGACGCTGTGCCTCATCGTATAACATCAGTCACTTGAAGAATGTGTCAAATAAAGCTATATACATCACATGCAAATAACTGAACAACATGCAAAATTCCAGAATGAAGTTTAAACCGTCTCCAAGAAAAAAATGCTGTGGCACTCGTACTTAGAGTTGGATGTGAAATGCTGATTAAGAATTTAAAGTTTAGATAGAAAGAAATTTATGTAGTCAATAACTATTGTTGTAATAAAGATATCTTGCTGTGTTCTAGAGTTGTAGTTCACAAGCGCATAAATGCAGTTATTGTAACTGCAGACTGAGGGGAGCCCTACTACAAACTCAATAAGAGAATTTTGGATGTTGGTCTGTACAATCTTTGACCTGAGAGTGATGTGCCAGTTCCTATGTAAAGAAGCTTGAATGCAGAAAATAATAAAACCTTAGTATCAAAAGTATCGGTCAGGCTAAGTCTAATCACTTTGTAAGGCGCTAGAAATTAATCTGAGTGATGATGGAAAAGGATTTAGCTTCTGTTAAAGTTTCTTTATGATCGTTAAGATAAATTTAATGCAATCAACAGATGTCTTCATTATTGAAGAAAAGTAAAATCTGTGATGGCTGAATCCTTAGTATCAAAAGTATCTGTCAGGCTAAGTCTAATCACTTTGTAAGGCGCTAATCTGAGTGATGATGGAAAAGGATTTGGCTTCTGTTAAAGTTTCTTTTAGATCGTTAAGATAAATTTAAAGCAATCAACGGATGTCTTCATTATTGAAGAAAAGTAAAATCTGTGATGGCTGAATCCAAATTATCGATCCATGTAGATCGTGATGAGTGGTGTTTCATTTTCAGTGGTTGATGCTGAAAATTCATTATGTAGAAAGAAAAGGAGGGGAATACCCCGAATCATGCATTGTTGTTTAGGTTCCTGTGTCAATTGATGTATGCGTTTAAAATCAAGAAAGTAAATGGAACTTTTAAAAATTAGAGAGCACAAGCCGGGTCTGTAAGGTCCTTTATAGTGAAAGCAAGAGGGAGTGAAACCAAGAGGGGATCTGGTGTTTCGAGAGACAAAAGATTGGTGAAATTATTTCTATTTCTTAGGTAGGGAATAGATTATTCTTTTACCCCTTGTCTTTATTTCTCCTTTCTGTTCTATTGGTTTATGGTATAACTTTACTGATGCATCTGATTCATGGAACTACACCGTCACTTGAGTCTTGCCTAGATGGTGTCATCCTTGTTGACTGATGTCTCTTTCCACATAACTGGCTGAATGGAATCTTTCTAAAGAAATGTGTTTACTTTTCAATTTAAATCATTTGTGCCTAGGGAAATGGCTATTCTTCATTTATTGGCAGCTTCTCCATCAAATTAAGGCAATTAAATGTGAAATGAAGCTTTTAGCCAGAAGAAGACTTAGAAGAGGTTTAATTCTCAGCCGAAGTATGCCTTTGGAGGAATGCTTATCAAAATGACTATGACATTATGAGTAGCTGCGTCGAAAAAGATTTTTTTAAAGAATAGTTTGAAAACCGGCGCAAAAGGGGAAATATACAACGACCCAAGGATTAGGAAAGTTCGGCTATTTAGTTTGTCTTGATGCATTAATATTCAGTCGGTGTTGAAGTTGTCTTGGAGGTGTGGGCGGTAAGATGCACATCGAACTTGCAGCAAAATAGAGCCTTCACTTAGTTATTTACTACACTGTTCTACCCCTGGCGCTTAAATCAATTGACTACTCGGACAAATTGAATAGATCCTAATCAAAGTTACCCTTGAAAACATAAAGTATTCTCCCAGATTTGTCATCCGGCTGATTGAGTCCATTAAGTTGGGGAGGGTTCGTGAGAGGTCGTAGGAAATCAGGTTTACAAAGATGAGGGCAGTGAGGGTATTCGAGTCTATCGTATTCTAGTTATTAATGGTGAGTTAATCTAAACTACTGAATGTTGATGAAATTCCTGTATCTAGGAACTACAGACTTTTGAGGCAGTAAGCACTGTTAGGGAAATAAGGGCTTATAACTGATTTTTGGTATTTATGGGAAGCTAAAACTAAAACGCTTGTGTACATTTTTGAAATCTCCTGGAATCATGGAATAAACTGGTCTTTTCGGAATAGGCTGATGAATATCGTACTGAATTCTTGGTGATTCAAATATTGTTAGAGTGTCTGATATTGGGTATCCTCCAATTCTGGAATGGGCTGAGTTGTGGCCTTTCTGAAACCGGTATTATCTGGTGGGTCTTATGATCTGGAATGGACGGTTGTCAATTACTCTGGGATATCCTTTCGCAAAAGTAGCGTCCATTACTTTGTATGGTTTTACATTCGTTTCTTTCTTGATTTCATTTTTATGATAATGTTTTTCATTTCTTGATTAACGGTGATTGTGTTTTCTTGGATCTCTATTTTCAGACCTCCTTTGTTACTGTAGTTATTCCTTTCTATATGTACCCAATTCACCCAGCGCTTGTGTTATTTCTGGCACTTTCTTAGGTTGTAAATTTCTTTAAATTTTACTGTAGTTATTTCTTTAAATTTTATGTAAAATGTGGGTGGTAGACCGAGGTCTGTGGCATTGCTTTCTTCTATAACGATCATTTCTGAGTCGACATTTCCTGCTTTTCGTCTCCCATTTTATTCTTGCATTTTTCTTGTTGCCGACATCTCAGCACAGTAGAGTAAGTCGAGCTCTTTTGACTGCAGGGATATGCTGGAGTTCAGGGACTCCGAATACAAGGCATGGGCACATGTTCAAAGTCTTAAATCCTCTCTGGATGAGCACAGCTTGGAACTGCGTGTTAAAGCAGCCAATGAAGCAGAAGCATTATCCCAACAGAGATTAGCCACTGCTGAAGCTGAAATTGCCGAGTTAAGGCAAAAATTGGAAGTTTCGGCGAGGTATTTTGTCTTTCTGTGTTTTCAATTCTCTTCATATGTTTTTCAATAGTGATGTGGCATTCTCTCTCTTCAATTGGTTTGTGCCAATAAAATACTATTTGAACATTAATAGCTATTTGTTTTGGTGAGATAGTTAACAAGCTCATGTTTGCACCTGCCGTTTAGTGTTATCTTTTCATCTGCAACATTTTGTGATTATTTTTGGAGGAACATTATTTTGGAAGCTTAGATGATGGTTTCTTGTTTACAGGGAAATAGTTAAATTGTCAGATGTCCTCAAATCTAAATGTGAAGAAGGGGAAGCTTATTTATCTGAGATTGAGGTTCGTTTTCTTCTCTCTGTTTTCATGTCTGCCTCTATCTGCATAGTAAATACTTGAGGGGATTGTCACTTTGGTCTCCCTATGATGCAGAGTATTGGCCAAGCGTATGAAGATCTACAGATGCAGAATCAAAATCTATTGCAGCAAATTACGGAAAGGGATGATTACAATATCAAGGTAAAGTTGTTCTTCTGCATTGGGGATCCTGCTGATGTCTATTTGATGTACGATGTCATATTGCTTTTGTGTGTTTTTGGGTTTGGACTTGGACGCGGAAAAACTATATATATATATATATATTTATTTTTTTTTCTTTTTGGAATACGATCTAGGGGATTCAGTAATATGAGCATCCAGAAGCCATTTTTATGGGTCTTGCTGGAATGGGCATACAGGATCTACGCTTGGACACATTTTGAATACCTTGGCATATAAAGTAGACACGTTTCACATAGGTCTTGTAGGTAGACAGATGGTTGAAGATATTCAGTTCTTCATTGATCTTTCTGTTTTACGTTGACACATTTCGCAAATCCGATCTTTGGAGACGCGTACTTTTTCGTTCCTTTTAAGACCAAATGCCCGAGACAATGCCTCAGGTTTGGCAAGTGAATGGAAGTAATTATGGGAGATATAGGTATATATATATATATATCTCGAAAGTTGGCATTTGGGAGTGACAAAGTGCTTCATGGTGCAAACCTGAGATTCGAAATGCAGTTACAACAGCTGAATATATTACTCGATGAAGAAACTGTGTTGGAGGAATCGTCTCTTAATTAAGATGTAGATGGCCCTCTATGGGAGCCACTGCCAAAATCTGCTCATGTTTCATCATATTTCTGTAAGGGAAATTTACCTGTCCGATCTTTAGTTGTTTCATTGCTTTTGGCTTCAAGTTTATGAGTCGGAGCATTTCATCTAGAATATTTCATTAGAATCTTATTGCTGGTAACAAGCTGTAGTCCTGCAGCTTTTTCACGAGTCTATCCGAATTTGCCTAATTTTCAAAAGGGAATCATTATATTTTTGCCCTCAGGGGCTGGCCAGTTATTATTTATTTGGCGGCTCTTTATGATATGTATTCTTCTAGCTTGCGTCGGCAATTCCAAGTATCTTACTGTGGCAATCTATTGCAGCTTGTCTTGGAGAGCGTGAAAGAGAGGCAGGTTCAGGATGCCCTCCGTATGGAAATACGAAACATGAATAGAGACATAGAGCAAGCAAACGTGTCTCTAGAGTTTTACAACTTGAAAGTCGTTCGATTGGAAGACCAGGTAACTTTTCTTGACCAAGGTTTGTGTCTAGATCAAGGGTTGGGTTATCTTAAACGAATCTTATCTTTAATCTTTTTTCCATACAGATGAGGAATTTGGCGGAGCAGGTTGGGAAGCTTGTGGAGGATAGATGGCAGTACTCTGTGGGGTTAGAAAATATAAAGAGAAGGTTGTTTGATATGCAGAGAGATTCGCAACAACTGAGAAAATCTGTCGAGGAATCATTCTCCAAGGTTGAAGCTAGTCGGAAGGACATTTCCATGCTCCAGATAAACCTGGAGGAGGAGAGGTATACGATTGCTACCTTTTTTTTTTTTTTCTTTTTCTTTGTTGGGTTCCGGTATGTTCAGCTGTCGAATCTCATGAAATTGTGGCATGTATCAGATTCAAGAACAACAGAATAGATGAGGATGTAGAAGTCAAGATAAGGAAAGCGGCTCTTCTGAAATCACGCTCACAAGGCTCCTCGATGCTGGAGAAGCTCCAGCAAGAACTCAGGGAATACAAGGGCATACTGAAATGCGGTGTATGCAAGGACCGACAAAAGGAGGTGATGCTCAAAAACCTCATTCTGGGTCATCTGTGTTTTTTTTTTTTTTTTTTTTTTTTTTTGATAATCATGGGAACTTTGTTTTTATTTATTTTTATTTCGGTAGATATAGGATATTAGTATTTCATCCCTTCAAAATATTCATCTTCTTACTCGTTTCTAGTAGTTAATATCGTGGGTTTCTTCGCCTTTGATTTCTCTCCTTGGGCCCAGGCGGTAATTGCCAAGTGCTACCATCTACTCTGTCAACCATGCGTCCAAAGAATACTGGAGAGCCGCCATCGCAAGTGCCCGGTCTGTGCGACGAGCTTTGGGGCCAATGACATCAAGCCCATCTACATCTGACGCAGGAAGAGAAGAGCTCCCCTTTCACGAGAGGTTAATCACTAAATCTCACTGGTCGGAAGTCATTAGTTGGATGCATGACATGACATGCCCATTTATTCAATGTCTATGCTCAGGGTGCTATATATATATATATATATAAATGTATCTCTCTATGGTCGGGGTGACCCTCCCTCCCCTTCTTCTTCTTGTTAATATCAGATTCCAAGCTTTGCAGGCAGTAGGGCCCGTAGTTTTGTCGACCTGATGATGATGATGATGATGATGTTAATGTTTTGGTATGATCCCCTGTAAATTTCCACAAATATCCATTTAATGTCTTGGAGCGAGCTTGGGTTGGCCCCCTGATCGATCCCCCTTCGAAGAGTGCTTCCCCTTCTCCTTGTTCTGTTCCAGGTCGTTCTTGCTTTTGACCCAGGTGATTCCAGCTGTCGTGTATAGCCGTCTCATTACTCAGTTAATTGGCATCTAATTGCCTGTGTATGTATGTATAAATTACGTGGTGATCTTATGGTCGGAGCATGGTCAACTGCTATGCGTATAACTGGTTAGTTGGCCCCTAAATATTCCTCTGGACTGGCCAATTATAGTTAAAATAAAATGTTTTGGAAGTGGGACGGCATCATTCCTTTCGCTTTTACCCTGTTGACTCTCTCTCTCTCTCTCTCTCTGCCCATCTTTACTGCCTTCTCTCCCAGTAGACGGGAGAGAAGCGAGTGGCGGTGTCGCCTGTCAGCGGCCGTAGACTACCGCCCTGCAGTGAAAGGAAGGAGGTGCAGTTGGTCAGAGAGGTACCCGATTGGCGAGGCCTACGTGAAGTTACTATCTAGGGCCGTTAACCTACTTGATGTTATGAGATTTGTGACTATTCGGAGGATGAGTAGGTAAAATACTGCTTTAATATGAATTTATGTTTTCATTTGATTAATGAAACCGGCAATTTAATACGATACTAGAGCCGAGGCCTCTCTTTATGGATTCACTGTGACGGTGAGAGGCGTTCAGAGGAATTAAGATGGAGACGACCCATAGTACCATGGGAAGGTTGAAAGACGTGCAGCTCAAAGGTCAGGTAGAGGGAGCTGAAGGGTTCAGTAAACTTCCAAGGAGGCCTATTTATAAGAGCCTTATTGATCCCAGCTCTTAACCTATCCCTCTCTCTCTCTCTCTTTCTTTTTCAGAGAGATCATACGTCGGAGGCTTGCCTGATGAGGAAGGCCATCTACTGGGGGTGCGGAAAGCTATGATCGCTCTGAAAGCCCGAGGGAACAAGGAAGGTTGAGGCCCATACAGCCATCACACGGGCTTTCAGGGAGATCATAGCGTTCCCTTCCCCCACTCTCTCTCTCTCCCCGAGAAAAAGGGCATTAGAACATCGCCCAGTGGTCGGAGGGATTGCTGACGAACAAGGAAGAAGGTCGTCTCTTGAGGGGTCGGAAAGCTGTGATCCCTCTGAAAACCCGAGAGAACCAGGAAGGCTGAGGCCTATGCAGGCATCGCACGGGCTTTCAGAGAGATCACAGCGTTCCCTCCCCCCTCTCTTATGGCTCTCTCTGTCGTTATCATTATATCTATTTGGCAGCAGAGCTTTGAATTCGCGTGAGAACTTTTCCTAATGGAGCGTCAGTAGGGTGCGGTTTCTGAACCCGCCCGCCAGCTTTTAGGTAAAAACTTCAGCACTGCTATACTTCTCTGTCTGTCTCTCTTGTCTCTCGATAGCGCGCCCTTTCAGGTTCAGATATGAAGAAAGTTGCTCGAGAGAGCGTTGGAAAAACATTGCCTTTTTCGAAGCATGTTTAGTTCACAAGGCTTAATGCTTCATGTATGAAAGCTGCTGCATCGACGGTTGCAGAGTCATGGTCTGTTTGGTTCATAGAAGTGCTCTCTTTCTCTCTCTCTCTCTCTCGCTATAGGGTTGAAAAAACATGATCTTCTTGGATGCATGTGAAGGCCGAAGGCTTAAGTCCTCTGTGGGCATTTCCAGATTTCGCTATGACATAGGGAACATTCTATGCAGAACCGAGATTACTCCCATTAATGTCCATTAAATAACTAAATTCTTTCCATTTCCAATCCCCTATAAAATCACCTGCCCATCACCCAAAGCTTAGGTTCCTGTCATCTTTTATGAAAAATATGAATTTTCATGAAAGTTTTTTCCCATTGAGAGGTTCCTGTCATCTTTTTATGATATGTTTGACTTGATCTTAATGAGGGCATACATAAATTTGTATAGTGTGAGATTATTATTACACTAATCTTTGTTAAATTTAGTTTATTAAGAATTTTGTAATTGGGATTAATTGATCTTATTTACATATAAATTATATAAAATTCCCTATAGACAAGGGTTTAATTCTAATTTTTATAATGTATAAAATGGAAAAAGGACACCTTAGTTGTTTAATTCTAATTTTTTAAGATCTCTTAGTATGCCCTTAATTATAATGTATGAAATACTAAGATCTCTTAGTTGTTTAAGAGGTCATTACTCTCAAAACTCATTGTAGTGGTGAGGGCACCTTTGTCTCCAAGCACACTAGAATGGTCTTACTAAAAGCCCTTTGTGTTGGTTCATAGAACAAACATTTGTGGAGTTCAAAAATGTGCTGTACAGTTATTTTTATTCACCTTGAAAATCCAAATTTATTAGATGAAAAAATGTAGATTTGCAAGATGAGTAATAAAGGAAATAATTAACATGTGTAAGAGGTTAAGTGATTGTGGAAATGCCCACAATTTTTAAGGACTATTTAAGTGTATCCTTTCCATTCTTTGGCTATGTATGGAAAGATAGAAATAAAATGACCACAATTTTAGGTATTCACTTAATTTTGTTAGGTCTAGGTGCTTTTCTTTTAGTATTCAAAGCTGTGTTTGAAAAAGTTCTTCACTCACTAAATATAGATTTTGACAGGTATCAATTTTATCAGAAAAAAAAATAAAAAATGTAAGGATGCAAAATGACCATTAATTTATACCTTTTTTTATGAACTACTGCCTATTGCTTATTAGAATTGTTAATAATATTTTATCTCATTCATAGATAACTATTTTATCTCTTTAGTTGATAATCAACTTGCAAAAAGACTTTTTTTGATCAAACGGTTATGGTAAATACTATATTATAGGGTAGATTAGATAATTAAAGACCTTCATATAAATTTCTATATGAGTGTTTTATTGTCTCATAGTATAACATGGATCATGTTGGGGAGAGATGTATAATCTATATACTTTATTAAAACCCTTATTGAAATTAGTAAAAAAATACAACTTAGTTATTAGATACAATTTAAATTAAAAAACTATTATGAAAACTTTATATGAATTTTGGATACATTAGAAACCTATTTTAAAGCATATACATATTTTTACAATATCTACTTTTTTTGTGAGGAAAAATATTTGGTTATTTATGATGTTCAATTTATGGTGGTTTAAGATTGTCTTTGAAGAATAAATATTTTTGTTTAATTAATTGCTAGTGATGATTATCAATATTAGGTCATCTTATCTACCATTATTTAATAATCAAACTTTATATCAAAATAATGTTCTTATAACTTTGATCCTGAATAAAGTTCACACTTTTAATAATTATTACTATTAAGGAGATCTATTGGACAGAGGAATAGTGAAATTTTGGATGTTTATATCATATATCTTTGAGAACATAAGTGATTATAAATGATCATATCATTCTATAATAGTTTACCCCTAACCTGACTAATTGTGTTCCTATAGAAAAATATTATCTTGATTGATTATTGTCTTGAGGAATACAAAACTGAATTGAACAAGATAAGTGACTCAAATCTCTCATGTTTCTTTCTATGAAAACCTTTTGGTACACCAACCCCTCTAAAGTTAAATAGTGCTGCAGCAGCAAACTTCTTTGCCAAAAAAACTCTTTTCCATAACTAAATGACCTCAAGATCAGATAGAGGACACATATTTTAATTGAGTAGTCATTTGATCATAATATCAAGTTGATAAAGTGGAGATTTTAATTTTTTTTCTTTTATGGAATGCATGATGTGAATATCTTAATTGAGAGTCAAGAATGTTGAAGTATATTTACTATTTGAGGCAAAAGTCTTATGTTATCATTTGGTTTCAATCCTATAATGTTTACTCAATTTAGATCTCTAACATTCAAGTTGACCTTTGAATGCCACCATTTGTTAGAATATGTGGTTTGCATATGTCATACAATTCTTATATTCATTTTAATTTAAATTTGAACATATTTCTTAACTTGATGGAGAACAACTTGACATCGATATAAACTCTAGATCGCTTGATTTTATTTCACATTTTTCCAGATATTTATCCGATGTGTCCCAATTGAGATAAATCTTTCAAACTTCAATTTTTGATTCAGTCTTTATTTGATGATTTGATATAGAATGGATAAAGACTGCTAGATGATGGTTAGATTATTATAAATCTAATAAAGATAAAAACTATTATATTTTCTTATGTGGCGTCAAAAGGATCATGTCCTAACATGTTTCGAGATATATGAAAGTCACCTTTTTTTGAACGTGTATTATTATGGTCATTTTAATCCAAATTTTAATTTTAATTTGAACATGGAATATTTTACAACTTAAATGTTATATGATTGGAAAACCTGATAACTTCTGTAGCCCAAGGTTTGAATCTAGATCATGGGTAGGGTTGTCTACATGAATCTTATCTTAAATATTTTCCATGAAGATAAGGAATTCGGTAGAGTAGGTTAGAAAGCTTCCATAGGATGATTGACAATATTCTGTCAAGTTAGAAAATATAAAGAGAAGATTGTTTGATATGAAAAGAGATTCACATCAGTTGAGAATCACATCAGTTGAAAATATAAAGAGAAGATTATCATCCAAGGTTATTTTCATGCTTGAGATAAACCCTGAGGAGGAGAGGTATGAGAATGTTGCCTTTTTTTTTTTTGTTGGGTTTCTATATGATTAGCTGTCGAGTCTTGTCAAAATGTGGCATGTATCAGATTCAAGATCAGCATAATAGATGAGGATGTAGAAGTCAAGATAAGGAAAGTGCCTCTTCTAGAATCATGATCACAAGGCTCCTCGATGCTCGAGAAGATTCAACAAGAACTCAAGAAGTACAAGGGCATACTAAAATGCGGTGTATGAAAGGACCGTCAAAAGGAGGTGATGCTCATGAACCTCATCCTTGGTCATCTGTGGTTTTTTGATAATCTTTCATGTGTGTTCCATTCTCTCACAGCAGTACATGGAAACTTCGTTTTGATTTATTTTATTTTGGTACATATTGAAATTTAGTATTTCATCCCTTCAAAACTTACATTTTCTTAGTAGTTACTACTATTTAGTTTTTTTGTGTGTTTCTTCTCTTTTGAATCATGTTCTTGGGCCCATGTGGTCATTGCCAAGTGCTACCCTCTACTCTATAACCCATGAGTGCAAAGAATACTTTGAGGTCTGCCATCGCAAGTGCCTGGCCACTGCAAGGAGCTTCATGCCTAATGACATCAAGCCCATCTACATCCCTAGTCTTTGTCTCTCTCACTAGATGCACCCATTCAAGTTCATGTATCAAGAAACTTGCTTGAAAGATGGTTGGAAAATCATTACCTTTTCGGAAGCATGTGAAGGATTTAAGGCTTATGTTTTATGTGAGAAAACTAATCCCTCAGTTCTCTTCTCTCTCTGTTTATCGTTCATGTAAGAAAGCTGCTAGATTGATGGTTGTAAAAACATGGTCTTCTTAGAGGATATGTGTTGGCGGTGTCAACCCATCATGTCTGACCCATTTGGGAGATGTGTGAGGTGTCAACTCATCCCTATTGACCTGTTCGGGGGTTGTGCATGGAGAGAATGGGAACCAAGGGTGGTTGAAACCATTAACTCTAAGATGTGTGACCTTTCCCCCACAATTAGGTTGAGAATGCGTCCTTTGGGGTGACAACTACCTTTTCTCTTTTCTATAAGTAAGATGTATTTTCTATTTTGTGAGTACAATGAATGAATAATACTTTATTTTCCTTGGCTCTCTCCCTCTCTCTTGATTTTCTTCTCTCTCCATCAAATCTACTCCCCTTTTTTGGTATCTTTGTTTTTCTTCTATTATAGGTGAAACCTTTGTAGAAACAGATAAGAGTCTATTGTTGACTGATGTGACAGTTTTTTTTATTAAATCATGTAAATTAAAAATTTATAAAATTAGAAAATATTAATTTTTAATTAGAAAAAATAAATGAATTATAATTAGATAATAGGTTCAAAATATAGTGAAGAATTTCTAAGTCGATCACATAGATATAATATAATATTGAGTAATATTTTAAAAGTTTCTATAAAAAATATATATTTTTATATTTGTTAGTCCAAATAATAAAGATAAAATATATTTAAAATTCACAAAAAGAGAAATAAGGGTATGGAAATTAGGATGATATTAGTGGTTCGATGAACAAAAATTGGATAGAAATATAGTTCTACTTGATAATTATTATATAAGTAATTACATATGATTTAAATGATCAAATTAAAATATGTAAAAAATAAAATAATTGTAATTGAATGAAGAATAGTTTTGAAACTTGAAATCACAAAAAGTATTACTAAATTAAGTAAAAATTAAATTAAAAGTAGGAAAGATAGAGTTTCAATCTTGTAACAGTGATCATCAAAATTTTGTGTGTTCAAGAAGATTATTGAGGAATTACAACCTCAAGGGCTATCTTTAGATATTAATGAACTAAACATTTTCTATATCTCTTTTTGAAGTTCAGAAAATGATGGTGGAAGTTAAATTAGTTGAAAATAGTAAAATAATTTTTTGGGATTGTGACAGTGATATATTTAAATTTTGAGCATTTAGTGGGACTATGGTGAAATGTTTATAGCCTCAAAGACTCTTCTTATACATGAACAACGTGGGCAATCTCTAGTCCTCTTACGAAGTCTAGAAATCAATGAGATAGGTTGACAAATCATCTCTAGTAGTTGTTAATCAATGAAGTGGAAAAATAATGACTTTACAGATCTTCGACGGTTGTCACTCGACAGAGATAAACTAAATGGAGGTTAGGCGCAAGAACTTAATTCTCATGTCTGCATAGTAAAAGGATGTGATAAGTCTTCATTATCATGAGTTAATAATTATAAACTAATATAGTTTTAGCCTTAAATCATGATAAATAAACTTATATTTGTGTTAAAGTATGAAAAGTGGGTTTTAGTTGATTAACGTGAATTTTTGAGTAATTATGTGATTTTATACGAATTTATATGATTTTTACAATCTTAATTTTGAGATAAATGAAGAAAAAGAAATTAAAATATAGCAAAATGGGGGGCCGTGAGTAGGGGTTCGAATGGCTAGGACCACAAGGGGCACGTGTGCACCACTTCCCTTCCACGACACTAGTGGCCAGCTGGTTGTGGGGTAAGGAGTGGTCGTACACACACGAGAAAGGGACTTACTTGCAAATGTAATATTATTATATATTCACCCAAAACTTCAGCGCACAAGCGATGTGGGACTAAACCCGCGTCACACCTTCCCCAAAAAAGGTTCGATGATTTTAATACCTAAAAGACCCCTTATTTATAATAGAGATATACCATGATGACGTCATTTGACAAGGGCATTAAAGTACTTATGTCAATCTCTCTCATGTAGGCAGACAACCAGCGCGGGTTTGAATCCTCCTAGAGCCAAAACTCATATTTTTTATCTAATTATCGCGACTTTCCTGTAGATTGCTAGTGAAGGATTAAGCTGCCAGAATCGTTGGATCATCAGCAAAAATCTCGTTAACGTGATTCGCAAAGCATTGTTACTAAAATTGTTGAACGATTCACGATAAAAAGATCGCAAATCCATCGAGTAAAGCATCTCCAATTGATTGACGAACAAGGTGTCATCAAGAAGAGGACGATCTGTCAGGAGACGAGTCGCCACCTTTTGAGAGTGTATCGGATGCGATGAAGAGCCTCCTCTTGTTGTGTGGACCTAAGGATGAAGTTCCCTAACACATGCCCCACCTCTATCTAGCTCCTCTTTGTCAGGTGACAGCTGCTGGAGAGTTGCAAAGTCGCCGATTTTTCGCTCTATCGGGTGACAGCCACCGGAGACAATTTGACAACCCATTTCATTGATCTCTAGACTTCGCAAGGAGATCTAGAGATTGCTCACGTTGTCCTTGTCCAAAGAGAGCCTTTGAGGCTGTGGATGATGCAGGATGGGGTGAGAACCCTTGTACCTGATCAATGAAACTCAAGACCTAGGATGGCATAGTCAGACCGATCCGATAAGAATGTATAGACCCTAGACTCTAGGTCTGACCACCTAACTTAAGTACATGCAAGCGTACCAATATGCACTCTCAACCCAAGACAACCCGGGGAAACACTCGATGATGGTAAGTGTGAGACCCTCTTGGTCCACGTCCGGATAGACGGCAAAATGGTCGTCGTGAAGTAGCCTAGGGCTGCAGCTCACGAACGGTGATGAGTCTGACGCAGCATCAGAAGTCACGATCCTATAACCCGTCCTATCCTGTCTACGTTCTCTTGATGGCGGTGGAAATGAGCCGAGAAAACTCTTTGAAAGATAATTAAACTTAAGTAAGAAGGGGTACGGAGCTAACCTTCGGGGCTGTGTAGCCTGGCGAGTCGTGATGGAGCGGAGACTTGACATAAGTAGAGACGTCCGGTGAAGAGTGATGCTCAGCGTCGACGGTCGGTTCTGGTTGAGAGTCACAGTAGCCGTCGTCGTAAGGCGTGGCACGGTCGGCGCGGGCGTGGGCCCGCTGGTGGGCCAAAGGGCACGCTAGCAAGCGCACGCGGCAAGCCGTGCGGCGTGCCTCGGGGCACGCAGGTGGCGGTGTCGGGTGGGCGCGTAGGCCGCAGGAGCCGGCGCACAGGGCATGCGCGGCGGCGGCGCTTCGGTGGGAATGCCGAGCGTCGGTGGTTGGCGGAAGCCCCAACCATCGCCGGAAGGATCGGCCTTCTCTGGCGGCACTAGGAAGTGGAGCAGAGGAAGGAGATGATCCCGGCCGACGATACCAGGGAGGGTTGAGCCCTCCTAGTCTAGGCGGCGCCGGAAACGGCGCGACAGCGGCGGATCTTCGGGAAACTCTAGGGGGGGCCTGTGAGGAGCTTGGACTGGATCTGGCTCATCGGCATGGCTGCAGGGTCTCTCCCGACGTCGGCGGCAGGTAGGCGTTCGTCAGCGAACGGCCAGCGACTGGGCGGAGCAGCGGATGGTGGCTCCGGCGAGTTTATGGTGGAGTTTTGAAGGAAGAGGTGGCAGTCAAACTAGGAGTCAAGAGACTCCGGTAGAGTGCTCGGCAACGGGTCGTAGGGAGGCGAAGCAAGCCCCTTTCGTCACGACGGCGTGACGGGGTTCCAGCAGAGGCGGCAGCGGTTGCAGTGGCAACCGCGACTATTTCGTCTGGTGACGGCGGTGATCTCACAGGCGGCAATGAAGATGTCTGGCGGCAGCAGTTGGTCTCAGGCGGCGGCAGGACTTCTCAGGCAGCAGCGTCACGATGAACGAAGTCTTCAAAGGGTATCGACGGCCTTCCTCTCCCTCCTTCCCTCCCTACCCTAGGTCACGAAGAAGGTAACTCACAAACAATAATCTCTCACAAAATTTGGCGCTTCGGGTTGAGGGGGGGTCCTACTCCCCTTATATAGGGCCCACAAGTGGGCTAAGGGGAGGTGGGCCTACTTGAGGCCCTCAAGCCCATAAGCCACAAAAAGGCTACAAAGGGGCTTATTGGGCCTCTAAAAGAGAGACCCAATAAGCTCCCCTAAAAGGAGAAAGAGGAGGGCCCTCATACGGTGCTTAAGTGGGCCTCAAATGAGGACCCAAATAAGCCCCAAAAGAGGCCCAAAAGGAAAGAAATATAGGTCTCCCCCCTTAGGGTTTTAATTGGGCCTCAAGAGAGAGACCCAATAAAACCCTAAAGAAAGGGAGACACAAACAACAACACACAAACATAGAATTGGGCCTGCTAACACACAAATGCGAGGCCCAACAAGTCAACGTGAAAATACAAAGAAAGATAAGGGTGAGCTCGAGCTCGTCGTTGTCGTGGAGGTGGAATGTCGTCGTCCCAAAGGGCTAGGCCGTGTAGCGAAAGCCTGGCTCCTTCGTCTTCGCATGTCGATCGGGCTGAACTCGGACTGCCGGTGTCTCCTGAGCTGATGGAGATAGGTCCCGCTCGCCATCAGTGGACACTACACGATGATCCTCCCGAATGCTTAGGATTCTGGTGCATCGCCGATGCATTGTTGCAGCGATGCCAGAACTCTATTTTCTTACTTTCAACTTAATTTCTATTTCATTTAGTGATAATTTGTGTGATTTAAATTTACCAAGATATATTTCATTCAATTACGATTCTTTTGGCTTTTACAGATCTTAATTTGATTAATTAAATCGTTTGTAATCACTTACGTAAGAATCCGCACTGATGTCGTCTTGACATCCGCACCCTTATTTTAAATATATTTCTTTCATTTATGAGTATAAAATTCATAGAAAATAATATTGTTCGAGGAAAATTTTAAATAATTACCAGATATTATATTACATCTCTGTGATCGACCTAGAAAATTATCACTATTTTTGAAAGTTTTATTGAATTATAATTGATATATGTTTTCAAAAATACTTCTAAATATCCAACAATTCGTATTTTTTAGTTTAATCAATTTTAAATTTGCGTGATTTACTGTACAACGACTAAGTCACATCAAAGAGGCTCTTCATTATATGCGGTATGTTTTTTGGAGGTGGGAACTCGTATCTTGACAGATCATCCTCTTCCTAACGATGGGTTATTTGTTCATCAATTAGAGATCATTTACTTGATGAATGCACAATTCTTTTATTTAGAATCATTTGATAATTTGAGATAACAATGATCCCTTAATCACATTGATAGATTTTTGTCAATTGAATAATTTTTTTTTGTAAGGCTCTCATTCAGTAGTAAATACTTTTTATTAATACATCATAGAATGTGATTCGGCCATATAATTGTCAAATTAGCTCTTACCCAATCTAATTTTTTTATCTAAAATGATATCTCTAATTCTTTTACTCACCCATTTCTGAATGTATTATTTTATCTACATAATCTTCCCCTGCTCTATTTTATCTTCTCTACATATTGGTTCAATTTGTGAAGAGTGAAATATTTCAAACTTCGACACAACTTTAATGGGCTATGGGTTTTTAAGGATGGAAGAATTGTCTACTTTAATCTCAGATCTAATAAATTCATTAAAATTTAAACTTTTTCCTCTAAGATTATCTCTATATTCATATTTATTATTTTTATTTTTCCCTATTAGTTGAATCAACTCTTTTTTTAACTTTTCATTTCTTAACTCATCAAATTCTTCATCTTTCTAAAAGCTATCTTCTAATTTCGGTATATGATATGCATCATCATTCTCACTATAAACATTTAGAGCTGCAAAATACTGCTTAGATTTATTAATTTCGTCTCTTGCATCTCCCAAATCAACTAGTTTTTCTTCACCTAAAATATATTTTTCTTTATTTCTTTCTTTATTTTCTTCTATAAAAATTTGGATAATTTTTCCATGATCAGTTGTTGTTTCTTCATTCAAGGGTTCTCTCTTCATCATCCTCACTATATTCATTCATCACTTGCGAGTAATAAATAATTTTATTTAAATTTTCTACTAGTATATTTTCAGCTTTATTATTCTCATTTACTTCTAATGGCTCATCTATTTCCTCTAATAATTGCAAATAAGGATCACAAAAAATATGCTCACTTAATGTATTCACTGTCCTAATATTTTTATTTCGTGGGTTTTTTCCTAAATTTATCTAGGTAGACTTTCCTTGCTAAAATCCTACAATTGGACAATTTTTTAAATTTTCTATGGGCTGACTAGGTGGCTGTCCTTCTTCTCTCTTATTCTCAAAATCCTCTATAAGTTATTTTTACTATAACGTCATTTGGTTGATTGTTTGCTGCATCATTTGGTTCATTTGCTGCATCATATCCAAGATTGAATTTGAGAGGACTGATTTTTCTAAAATCTATGTTTCTTTTTGGATGAAATTCAGAATTTGAATTGGTTCTAAGTGCTTCTGAATTTTGAATATTATTTAGGTCTCTCTATGAAAAATTATTCTTTCAATTAAGATTATAAGAATTAAAAAATATTATCTATTTTTAATAAAATAATGGGGTACTTACACTTGCTCTTGCGTAGGCGGAAATGATTGGTCTAAATTATAATATTGAAATATAAAATGATCATTTTTATCATACATAGGACATGCACTATATACATTAAATTGAGGGTTAGAAGGCTTTCTAATATTTTTAATAAATAAATCAAGTTTTTCTAATATTTGATTAATCTGATTAACCTCATTTTTTAAATTAGAATCATCATGATGTTATAATTCAGAAATTCTTCTCTTCTTATCATTATCATATAACTCAAAAGAGGCTTGATCTTTAAAATTTTCACTTAAATTCTCATAAAGTTGTAAGTCTCAATTTTCACTTAAATTTTCATAAAGTTGTAAGTTTCATTATGGGTTTTCTCACATATAGAATCAATTATATTTCTATGTTATTTTAATGATTCATCATAAAAAATTCTATTGACCAATCATCTAGGTCTAATATGATGAAGACACTTTCTAAGTAAAATTTGAAATTTTTCCCATGTCTCATGCAAAGTTTCTCCTGGCCTTTGAGTAAAACTCCATATATGTTTTCTCATGTTTTGAACTTTTTGTAAGAGATAATTTTTTTGAAAAAAAGCTTATTCTATGTCTTTTCAATTAGTTGTGTATGAG